AAATATATCATAATTATTTTATTTAATAAATTAAAATAAAATATTAATATTATTAATATTATAAAAATTATTATATATAATTTCCGGTAATTTTCTAAATAATAATTCAAATTTATTTTAAATTATTTCTTCTTATTTATTATTTTGTTTTAGGAAAAAATAATAATAATATCAAATATTTACAAATAATTTCAAATAGTTTCAAATTTATTAAATAATAATTCGAAATCGTTCCAAACCGTTTCAAACCAATTCCCAAAAAACCTAACTTACAATATGTTTAATTGATTTATGTTTTATTGGATATTGTTTTAAATAAATTCTCAAAATTAATTTCTTTAGGGAATAGTTTTTGTAAATTGGATTCAATTAAGAAATAGTTTCTAGCCTCCACAACAAAGAGACCAAGGTACCCCCCAATATATATATATATATATATATACATGATATGTATATATATATATTTGTATAGGTAAAATATAATTATATATATATATAGTTTTTTCCGTTAAAGTAAATTATTTAAGAAATGGCTAATCCGCGCTGGAAATTCTTCAATTTCTGCCCAAGATTCTGCTACGCAGAGCTGGGCTCGTGGAAGTAGATCCTCAATTCTGCCATTGTGCAAGTTGTGCAAGTTCTGAATGACAGAACTGCCCTCTGAGGTGGGGGCATGTAATATCTGGGCGCTTTCCAGTGGATGTTGTGCATCCGACTTCCAAGCCAATATAAGAGTCGGAATTTCCAATCCTCGAGGTGCGAAGATGTGAAGTGTTGACATTGATAGTTCCTCTGTCAGAAGGCACAAGATTGCGCCAAGCCCACTAAAATCATTAGAACTCTCTTCAAGAATGGTCTCTTTTGTGACTCCTTCGGCATATCGGAACAGCAACCGAGGATCTTTGAATCTCTTCCGGCGAAGGTAAGTCAGACTGAATCGCACCCCGAAGAGCTGCACAGTATCGCCGTTGGCCCATCGCAAACTTTGCACGCCATCCAATTTCAAAACATGCCTCAGCAGTCGCAGCAGTCGCAGCAAATCCAATTTCTGCATGAACACAGTCGTGTCATGCCATGCACTATTCGTTCTATCCCTCTAGAAAGCTGCTCCATATTGCATTGCGCATACTTGCCATGCCAGACTCAAGTCTATCTTGGATTATGAAGTACATGAAGGAACAATGTCCCTAAATGGAGGGTTGGATGGCTCAAAACATAGCAGCGGCCATCCGTCCATGAAATTGCTGCTCCGAGAGTCTCTGCCACTCTCTGTCTGGAGAAAGATCGGTGGGCGAGCCTGATGTCAGCTGACAGCAGATTTGACCCCGAGAAATACAGCCGCATGCAGAACCGGTGTCGCCGGTGTTACCTTGCCTTCGTCTCAGCAACTGCTTTGGCAGTTTCCAGTCCATGCTTCTCGGCAAGTTCTAGGCTTTCTTGGTACAACGGTACAAATTTTTGACCTTGGTGGGGTGTCCAAATGTGTCCAGCATGCACTTGAGTCACTTGAGATTCCCATCTCAACTCTCAGCAACTTGAGTCATTTGAGTCTTGTACGCGTTGCCCACGCCGTGGGTGGTGTGGCCAAAACCAACGCACCAACCTTTTCAGGAGCCTCCAAAACGAACCCAACAAAGACACCAAAACCAACGCACGTGTCTCAACAGTCTCAACGGCCTCCAGAGCTGCATAAAGGCTGGCTGCAGCACCCATGGATGTGCCTGCACTGATTCCTACTGATTCCTTGATTTGATGATGGATGCTGCTGCTATGTCTCTACATGTCTGCAGCCTGCCTCCCAGAATCATGCGGCCATTGGGAAACATCTTCTGATGCAGTTTGCACAAGTCGCTGCCCATTGCCTCTCTTGCTACTTCAAGCGGACACCCACAAAAACCTCTTAAGAGTTCAGCAAAAGTATACAGAAGTATACATCGTATAAATATGTATAAATATCATCAATCAGTTACAGTACAGTACACTTTACATATCTTTACATCCTTCAGGCGCTTCAGGCGCTTCAGGCGACAAAAACGCCGAGTCTCCCGGCCATCCAGGTGCATTGATCGTTTTCATCGGACTCACCATGGCCACGAGCATCGTAACGCACCACGGGCAGCAAGGAGGAGAGGCTCGCAATGCCACTGAATGGCCAACCGCCTCCGCTATCCACATCGGATTCAACCCGAAAAAGCAAAAATGGTCGAAAGAAAAATAGATGTTGATCTAGTTCCTGCCAGCTTCATGTGTTTTGAAAAGTATGAGTTCCGATATTCCTGAAAGCTGAGGAATCTCAAAAGGAGAAAAATCAACATACCATATATATATATATCATATATATATAGTATAATATATATATATATATATATTATATATATATACCATGCTACGGTGAACGAGGTAAACGAGGTGAACAAGGCAACATGCCCATGGGCCCATGCCTTCATCTTCGCTGTCCACAGAGCTGGTCAGGCCATGGGTCCAAATCTTGGGAAGCGAAGTTGCGAAGTTTCGACTTTTCCAATGGAAGTTGCTGTATCTGTCAATTGGACCCAATTGGACTCAATTGGTTTTATTTCAGTGGTTCTATTTATGTTCTATTTATGTTCTATCTATGTTCTATTTATGTTCTATCTATTTTCTTCTGCAGATTGCTTTGACTCTGTTGCAGTCCGTTGCAAGTGCATTCGATTTGTTTGTATAATTTTGTATATATACTATTCTCCACCATTCCCTCCGGCAGAAAAATCTGGCAAATTCTTGATCCGTTGAAAGAATAGTTTCACCACTGAGGCCAGAACGAAGGCCCAGTCATTTCTGGCGCTTTCAAGCCGACGGACCTGGAGTTCAGCCAAGGTCCTTCCCCATAAACCTCATCATCAACTCATCAAACATCCAACCAATCAACAAATCAACAAATCAAATCAAGTATCAAATCTATTTGAGTATTATCAAATCTAAACTATTGGTTGGATTCAAATCAACCAATCTGTAAACTGTAAATGGTGCACCTCAAAGCGCAAGGATAACTTCGACGCGCTCTGCAAGGGATGCCGAGGGCCTCTGGGAGGGTCACATTGGGAAATGAAGAGCTGGAAAGCCAATAACTCATGGGGAGTAGGATATATATATATATTATGTATCTGATGTATATTAATTATGTATATTATGTATGTGTATACATTTATATATATATTATGTACACATTAGACTGTTTTACGTACGTATGCATAGTATGTAACCTAGATAGGACATATACAGTTGCAGCATATTCATACTATAATTCAGCCACCCAGGATCTCAAACAGCCAAATTGCAGGCCTTGATGATGTAGAGGCAAACTTCCCCGCAGTAATGCTGCTTGATGGTGAAGTTCCTTGGAAAATCCATGAAAATCCCTAGATATCCCATTCTATAACTTATGGTTTCATTGCTCAGACCCTGGTTGAAAATGTCAAACAACTTCAGTAGTCCCCAGGAATCTGAGGATTTCAACCTTTCATTTTCTGATGAGAGGCATGGTCAAGGCAGTAGTCGACACGCTGAGCATTGCCCAAGCTGGAAAATCGCCGGAGAGCTCGGGGAATGCGCTGCATTGCAAAGGACGACGACTGGAAAAAATCGTTGGATCATGGAGATGAGTTCAACCATTGACACCACAAGTGGCACCACTTGAAGACTTCCTATCATGGAGATTGAATTGTATTGAATCCTATATAGAATATTATAGAATGTACTTCTTAAGCATGGCTGATGTGCCGCTACAACGCTCCTTTCAGCCGATACATCAAACATCAGTGACATCTTCAAGGGGACATGTCTGACGCGGCTTTCCTTGAACTTCGTGCTTCGCAGTAAATTTCTCGGAAATGCAGCTGCTATGCAGCCATGATTCGGACCTTTTTCTAATCGAAGTTCAAAGTTCAAAGCTGCTCATTTGACTTATTCCTGTTATTCCTGAGGTTTTTGCTCAGTCTGCGCATCTGTAGTTGTGCTGGCTTTGGGCCTCAGTGACATCGCGATACAAATGAGTCAAAATCGAAGAACACCACCAAGGTCACAAGCAAAACCCAAGCCCGCGACGGCAAATCAGGTCTGTTCCCGTTTGGAGCTCCCAATAGAAATGGATCGGTGTACCTGGTCCAGGAAGGAACATCATCCACACATCCACCACAGAAAAAAAGACATGCCCCAAAAGCCAAAACGTATTTGAAAATATTAAACAAAAAAAAACCGCTGCAACTGGACAACCCAATCACAACTTGCTTTTTTAGAGAGTCCAAGTGTGAACCAAATCTTGTACATCATGTCTCACACCTTTAACGTTCAAATAAGAATCATGATTCTCGTAGCAAGAACAACAAATACATAATAACAATAATAACATTCATCATCATCATCATCATCATCATCATCATCATCATCATCCACATCCAAAAAGAAACATCACTTCCTGTTAGGACACTGTGCCTGTCTCTTTGGCCGCAGCAGACAGCATTGGCATATGCTGCTAGAGTTGCACCTAGCAGCAGATCTCCATGAACACAACCGGCTCAGATGATCCTAGATGATTCCCTGTAGCAAAACGATGGGATCAAAGTTCTCAGGTCATGGCCCATTTGAGAAAGCGATGGATCGCTGCGAGTTTCGCCAAATGACGGAAGATCTCAGAGGACACCCATCTGAGGCAAAAAGAACTGCAAAATGTGATGAATTGGGCTTCAGAAGTTTGGCAAATCTTCAGTAAGCCAATGATGTTGAATGCTGACACTAGGGCAATTTGTTGGTTCATAAAAAAGATGAAAAAAGAACATCACCTGAAATGGCTGCAAGTGAACATCCTCGAGCCATCCATCAGAATCCGCAGCTTTAGATTCTGTCCTCAAAACATCCAACTTTTGTAGATCCAAAAACTCCGGACCCGCGATCATCACATCACATCAAGTCTTTGAGTGATTTTCTTGGGCGATATATCCGATAGTCTACATTGTCTACATTGTCTACATATCTATTGTATCAAGTTTTGATCTCCATAGAATTCCAATTGCAATCCGCAGTCCAGTCCAGACAGTTTTTCGTCGCTCATTCGCCGCTCTGCATCACTGGAAGCCCAGAGGGAAGGACTGCCAGCTGCAGCAACGGGGCATTAGGCCTGGGGAAGTTGGTTGGTACAGAGGATCAACTGGAAAGTTATGGAAACGGCACGAAAGCATCACCAACATAAAATCAGATAAATCTATGATAAATCCAAGCCAAATCTCAGTGTAGCTGAGTTACAAAATCTGCAAAGCTCTGATCTGGGGCCTCACCACAGGTACCGCCTTTGAACACTGGGTCCCGAGCCCTTTCTGCAGGATGCGTGCAGCGCAGTGGAATGGTCGAACTGGCATCGATTCGTTCACCGGCCGCACCTGACACGTCGGCATCCCAGTGCAGAGGAAGTAAGTGGAGATTAATATGGGAAAACATGGCTAAAGATGGCTGGGCTGACATTCATGCCCACAAATCAATCGAGGCACACACTTCGAAAGGAATCTTGGACATGCCAAGCTACAGACAGAAAGAGTCTTCATCCAAAGCAAGATCCGTTTGTTTTCCTTGCCTGCCACACATAGGCGCGCCTCAGATTAGGGCCAAATGTGTTGCAAGCAAGCACAGACCCTTTCAAGGTAAGAAATATTCAAAGCAGGAAAAAGATCCAGGCAAAAATGACTCCATTGAAAGATAGCCACACAGCACACTTTTCCAAGAATGTGCAAACATCTACAGTATTTGGCGTTTCTGTTCAAGAGTGGCTGTCTACACAAATGCTGACATAAACCTAAAATATGAATAGAGACGTGGAATACAAATATTTGGCTATTGATTCAAACAGTATACAAAATCATACATTGCATTACATGACATGATATTACATTACCTTGTATTGCATTGCATTACAAAACATGGGATTGCATTGCACTACAGACACATTGTCTTATATTCAACTTGTGTTCATCTGTTTTGCATGTAATGTATTTATGTGTATATACATATATATATATATGTATATATACGGCAAATGCCTGGGCTTTGCCCGGAACCGCAACCACGACAGGCAACGCATCATCAGCATCATCATCATCATCATCATCATCAAACCCTTATTGAAGATCTTCAATGAAAGTAGAAGTTCAACAGGGGTGGGAGAATTAAACCCTTGTCGAAGATCTTCAGCGAATGTAGAAGTTTAACGGGGGTGGGAGAATTAAACCCTTATCGAAGATCTTCAACGAATGTAGAAGTTTAACGGGGGTGGGAGAATTAAACCCTATTGAAGATCTTCAATGAATGTAGAAGTTTGACGGGGGTGGGAGAATTAAACCCTTATTGAAGATCTTCAACGAATGTAGAAGTTTAACGGGGGTGGGAGAATTAAACCCTTATCGAAGATCTTCAACGAATGTAGAAGTTTAACGGGAGTCGGAGAATTAAACCCTTATTGAAGATCTTCAATAAATGTATAAGTTTGATGGGGGTGGGAGAATTATATAAACCCTTTTTGAAGATCTTCAATGAATGTAGAAGTTTAACAGGGGTGGGAGAATTAAACCCTTAGTGAAGATCTTCAACGAAAGTAAAGTTTAACGGTGGTGGGACTTTAATATTCCCCAATACCTTCTTGATCTTCCCAATGGAATGCAGAGTTGCAACAACATTTGATTGGGAATGGGGAACCTCTATGCTGCAACGCCTGGGCAAAGCCCAGGCGTTGCGCGTATATGTATATATATATACACACATACCTGACCTACAGCCATGGATGTGCAGCCTGCATTTGCATCGCTTATCACCTCTGCACCGGCACAGATACAATCAAATCCAATGAGATAAACTCAAGCTCAATGGTGAGACAAACTTTGCAAAGGCTCGCTTTTATGTTTAAAAAATCTAACCCCAGGAAACGAAGAAACAGCTGTGGCGTCTGTGATTGCAGCCGAGTTTCGCTACCGCTTGGGTCAAATGCGAGGCCCGAAGACGCTTTCGATCTCGGTCACCTCCAAAAACCATCAGAGATTTCGTCAAAAAATGTTCCAAGTACATCACCAAGTTGGTGTTTTCAGTCAAAAATTGTTCAAAAGAATAAATGAATACTTTCCTTAACATCAAGCAACTTTAAGCATTCACGCCTCGTAATGAAGTCTCCAGCAACACAGTTCCATTCTCAGGCAGTGCCTTCATGCGGGCAGCTATGGCCTGGCGTGCCCAAAAATCCCAATGAGGACATGAACCAATTTCACCCACAAGAATTATGATGATTTATGATGATTTATGATGATTTTTGATGATTTATGATGGTTTATCTGGATTTATGATGATTTATGATGATTTATGATGATTTATCTGGATTTTTGATGATTTATCTGGATTTATGATGATTTATCTGGATTTATGATGATTTACCTGGATTTATGATGATTTATGATGATTTATGATGATTTATGATGACTTATCTGGATTTATGATGATTTATCTGGATTTATGATGATTTATGATGATTTATGATGTTTTTTGATGATTTATCTGGATTTATCTGGATTTTTGATGATTTATCTGGATTTATGATGATTTATGATGATTTATCATGATTTATCTGGATTTTTGATGATTTATCTAGATTTATGATGATTTATGATGATTTATGATGATTTATCTGGATTTATCTGGATTGTTGATGATTTTTGATGATTTCTTCTGGATTTATGATGATTTTTGATGATTTATCTGGATTTATCTGGATTTATCTGGGTTTATCTGGATTTATGATGATTTTTGATGATTTATCTGGATTTATCTGGATGTTTGATGATTTATCTGGATTTATCTGGATTTATGATGATTTATCTGGGTTTATGATGATTTATGATGATTTATGATGATTTATGATGTGATTTATGATGATTTATGATGTTTTATGATGATCTATGATGATTTATGATTATTTATGATGATTTATGATGATTTATGATGACTTTTGATGATTTATCTGGATTTTTGATGATTTATGATGATTTTTGATGATTTATCTGGATTTATCTGGATTTATGATGATTTATGATGATTTGTGATGATTTATGATGATTTATGATGATTTGTGATGATTTGTGATGATTTATGATGATTTGTGATGATTTATGATGATTTATGATGATTTGTGATGATTTATGATGATGTATGATGGTTTATGATGATTTATGATGATTTATGATGATTTGTGATGATTTATGATGATTTGTGATGATTTATGATGATTTATGATGATTTGTGATGATTTATGATGATTTATGATGATTTATGATGATTTATGATGATTTGTGATGATTTATGATGATTTATGATGATTTATGATGATTTGTGATGATTTATGATGATTTATGATGATTTGTGATGATTTATGATGATTTGTGATGATTTATGATGATTTGTGATGATTTATGATGATTTGTGATGATTTATGATGATTTATGATGATTTATGATGATTTGTGATGATTTATGACGATTTATGATGATTTGTGATGATTTATGATGATTTATGATGATTTATGATGTGATTTATGATGATTTGTGATGATCTATGATGATTTATGATGATTTATGATGATTTATAATGATTTATGATGATTTATGATGATTTATGATGATTTATGATGATTTATGATGATTTATGATGATTTATGATGCGATTTATGATGATTTGTGATGATCTATGATGATTTATGATTATTTATGATGATTTATGATGATTTATGATGATTTATGATGATTTATGATGATTTGTGATGATTTGTGATGATTTGTGATGATTTATGATGATTTATGATGATCTATGATGTGATTTATGATGATTTGTGATGATCTATGATTATTTATGATGATTTATGATGATTTATGATGATTTATGATGATTTATGATGATCTATGATTATTTATGATGATTTATGATGATTTGTGATGATTTGTGATGATTTGTGATGATTTGTGATGATTTATGATGTGATTTATGATGATTTGTGATGATCTATGATTATTTATGATGATTTATGATGATTTATGATTATTTATGATGATTTATGATGATTTATGATGATTTGTGATGATTTATGATGATTTGTGATGATTTATGATGATTTATGATGATTTGTGATGATTTATGATGATTTATGATGATTTATGATGTGATTTGTGATGATTTATGATGATTTATGATGATTTATGATGTTTTATGATGATCTATGATGATTTATGATTATTTATGATGATTTATGATGATTTATGATGACTTTTGATGATTTATCTGGATTTATGATGATTTATGATGATTTGTGATGATTTATGATGATTTATGATGATTTATGATGATTTGTGATGATTTATGATGATTTATGATGATTTGTGATGATTTATGATGATTTATGATGATTTGTGATGATTTATGATGATTTGTGATGATTTATGATGATTTGTGATGATTTATGATGATTTGTGATGATTTATGATGATTTATGATGTGATTTATGATGTGATTTATGATGTGATTTATGATGTGATTTATGATGATTTGTGATGATTTATGATGTGATTTATGATGATTTATGATGTGATTTATGATGTGATTTATGATGATTTGTGATGATTTATGATGATTTATGATGATTTCTAATGATTTATGATGATTTATGATGATTTATGATTATTTATGATGATTTATGATGATTTATGATGATTTATGATGTGATTTATGATGTGATTTATGATGTGATTTATGATGATTTGTGATGATTTATGATGTGAATTTATGATGATTTATGAGATTTTTATGATGATTGATGATTTAGATGATTATGTAGGATGATTTATGATGTGATTTATGATGATTTATGATGATTTATGATGATTTATGATGATTTATGATGATTTATGATGATTTATGATGTGATTTATGATGTGATTTGTGATGATTTGTGATGATTTATGATGTGATTTATGATGATTTGTGATGATCTATGATTATTTATGATGATTTATGATGATTTATGATGATTTATGATGATTTATGATGATTTATGATGATTTACGATGATTTATGATGTGATTTTTGATGTGATTTATGATGATTTGTGATGATTTATGATGTGATTTATGATGTGATTTATGATGTGATTTATGATGTGATTTATGATGATTTGTGATGATTTATGATGTGATTTATGATGATTTATGATGTGATTTATGATGTGATTTATGATGATTTGTGATGATTTATGATGATTTATGATGATTTCTAATGATTTATGATGATTTATGATGATTTATGATGATTTATGATGATTTATGATGATTTATGATGATTTATGATGATTTATGATGATTTATGATGATTTATGATGTGATTTATGATGTGGTTTATGATGATTTGTGATGATTTATGATGTGATTTATGATGTGATTTATGATGATTTGTGATGATTTATGATGATTTATGATGATTTATGATGATTTATGATGTGATTTATGATGATTTGTGATGATCTATGATGATTTATGATGATTTATGATGATTTATGATGATTTATGATGATTTATGATGATCTATGATTATTTATGATGATTTATGATGATTTGTGATGATTTATGATGATTTGTGATGATTTATGATGTGATTTATGATGATTTACGATGATTTATGATGTGATTTATGATGTGATTTATGATGATTTATGATGATTTATGATGATTTATGATGTGATTTATGATGTGATTTATGATGATTTGTGATGATTTATGATGATTTATGATGTGATTTATGATGATTTGTGATGATTTATGATGATTTATGATGATTTATGATGATTTATGATGATTTATGATGATTTATGATGATTTATGATGATTTATGATGTGATTTATGATGTGATTTATGATGTGATTTATGATGATTTGTGATGATTTATGATGATTTATGATGATTTATGATGTGATTTATGATGTGATTTATGATGATTTGTGATGATTTATGATGTGAATTATGATGATTTGTGATGATCTATGATTATTTATGATGATTTATGATGATTTGTGATGATTTATGATGATTTATGATGATTTATGATGTGATTTATGATGTGATTTATGATGATTTATGATGATTTATGATGTGATTTATGATGTGATTTATGATGATTTGTGATGATTTATGATGATTTATGATGTGATTTATGATGTGATTTATGATGATTTATGATGATTTATGATGATTTATGATGATTTATGATGTGATTTATGATGATTTGTGATGATTTATGATGTGATTTATGATGTGATTTATGATGATTTGTGATTATTTATGATGTGATTTCTGATGATTTGTGATGATTTATGATGATATACATGAGTTCATCAATGATCAGATTGTCAGGAGATTTATGGGAAAACCTTGATTCTTCCATCCGCAAATCATATTTGGCGGTGCTGTAATTTTCCACCCGATTCCATTTGAAAAAAGTATGTGACCATATGTAACCAACAAAACTAGAGATTTTGCCAAACTGCAGACATGAAGAGCCCAAAGCAAGAAATTCCATGGCATCGTGGCGAGTGCATGATTTGAGCAAATAATGTAGGGTGTTTCAAAACAAAAATCCGGATATGAGTGACAAAAATTGTGAACTTATAGACGTATAGAATAGAGAATTTGACTAAGATTATGAGAGTGCGTCCCTGGTAGGGATTGGGGAGGGGTGTGTTTTGGGTTTTTGTGTGTTGTTTTGTTTTTTTTTTTCAACTTTGGCTTGCATTTTTTGTATGGCGCATTCATTTTGCATTTTGAATTTGCATATTATTTGCATGTGTTTTCATCGGTGGATTTGATTCTATTCTGGTTGTGCGTTCTTGTTTGCATTTATTAGTTGTGGAGTTTTGTTTGTTGCAAGAGTTGTGAAGCACTGGCTAGCGTGGCATTTGCATTTTTTTTGATGGACTTTTGACTTTTGGTTAAACATTTCCGTTTGACCATGATAGAACCTAAAATTGTGCATGTGAACAGAAGGTTACTTGGTCCACCAAAAATATGAGTCATTTCACCAGGGATCATCAGGGCGCCTTCGCCAAGGGCATCACGGTGGTTTGCGAAGCCACAAGTAACTTTTCAGCACCTGAGGTGAAAAATGGTAAAAACATCACCAAGTCCAAGGATTTCACATGTCTCATGGATCCTGAAGCGATGTTCAATAGATTTCCTGGGAACTTACAATAGTTCAATGGACGTTGCAGGGGTTCTTCATGAGTTTTCCACAAAAAGTTCATGGATCTTCACCTTCACGGCTTACCCTGATCACATCCGCTCGCGGGACCTGCCCAAGTCTCTTCCACGGAGGGATCTAGCCAGTCCTCCGCTTCCAGAAAACCCAAACGATAGTTGTGGAAACCTCAGATCTCAACGGATTGTCTCAGTTTTGAAGCGAAGTTGAAAGGCTCGCATGGTTACAATTTGCTCAAAAACGGTAGCCTTGGAAATGCATCTAAATGGAAATAAGCCAAAGATTTGTGAGTTGGATTCAACAGTTGGATTTAAAAAATTGAGATCAGAGCCTCTCACTTTGAAGTTGGGTCTCGCCGGTCTCACTGCGGCCAAGACCTGCACGTCTTGGGAGGCGAATCCCTGGGACGGAAGGGATTCGCACCCCAAATGAGTTGCTGGCCTCTTCCTCTCCAACCTGGGAGCCAAATACCCTCTGGTAAACTAACATAGCTATGGAAAATCACCATTTTCAATAGCTATGTTAAATTACCAGAGGGTAAGTCGCCAAATAAGTCGCCAAACGATTTAGAACTTGGAGCTATGGCAGCTATGGGCTGACTATCCAATCACGATGGGCGATTCATGGGGAGGTCCCACCTTGTCCAACACTGCACAAGGCACTTTCCCTTGCGGTCGCTGGGCCAAGAGCTCCAAAGCCAAGAGAGTTCCCTGGCGCAGCTTGCTGCACCCATGATTCATTCCGACCTCCTACACTGTTGCATCTGTTGCACATGATATTGCCTCCTTTTTAGACACAAAATCTGCGCTTTGCACAGAACCAGAATCTTCTCAGGAAACATGTCATGCGATGTGATGTGCTGCGACTGAAGGTTCCTTGCTTCACCACGAAAAAATGGGCCTTTTGTCCCACAGCCAACACATCCAGTGCAGCGCTGAAGCTGTTGCTGGCTGCCTCAAACTGAGCCACTACCTGAGTCGAACGATGAAATTGGAAAGACCAAACTGCGCAGCATCAACGGAGGCTCAACGGCTCAAACCAAATCTCGATGGAACTAATCCTCCCTGAATAATATTGGTCAATAAATTAGGCATAGAAACATGTATGTATAATAAATATATTGTTATATCTTATTGTATTATACTGTATAATATATATTAATATATAATACATATACACATATAATGAACTACTTGAAATCAGGACTCCTATTGCAACGAAAACTATCCATTCTCGGCCTCATTCAGCGGCTGCATACCATTCACAAGCAACGCCAAGCGGCGTATGGATGGGAACATTGCTCTACTCGTCAGAAAAATGATCTGTCACTAATCAAAGGAAACTCAAATTCGATTTGAGCAGTGTCAATATGGATTCCCATCGTGAACGCTAATACCCAATATATTGGGTAGTATTTTTCTGCTTCTGAGCCAATGCTCTGTGTCAAGCTTCTTTCAACCACTCGTTTGTGCAGGTGATAAAAATGCATCATATGCAGTCCCAATTTATGAATCATGGTATCTTCCATATGTGTCTATGTTGGCTTCTGGCACGATCCAATGCAGCAGAGCCGAAAAAAACAACCTGACCATTTTGGCGAAGAACAGCTGTAATTTCTGCTAAAGCTGATGCAAACGTGATGCAAACGTGATACGCTGGTGAACAGCAGTGAACAGCTGCTGTGCTGCCCTCAGCTCCGCGGTTTTTTGGTGCAGCACTGTCCATGACACCATTGTGACACCGCCTGGCGAAGCTGTGATCTGGCAGACCGACCATAGATCCATAGCTCAATATTTGATCAGCATTAGATCAATAGAAAAATATGATCTCTATAATATGTTGAATAGTTTAATATGTAATAATATGTACAAAGATATGTGAGCACAGTTTCAAACGAAAAGAATGACGGGCTTGCCTCACCTACTCAGCCTATTCAGTTTCCGTTCAACCTCAGGTTTCGTCTTCGTCCAACCTCACTTTCCGGCGTTGGAGTTGGGGCCACGCTTCGGGCCACTCTTCACCACCTCTGTCGCCAAAGACAAACCAATTTGACCTTTTCAGAAATGTTCCAACATGTTCCAACGCTTTTCAGAAATGAGGATGCTACAAGTGGTACCACAGTGGTTCCAATTGGTTCCAATTGGTTCCACAGTGGTTCCAATTGGTTCCAATTGGTTCCAATTGGTTCCAATTGGTTCCAATTGGTTCCAATTGCTGATACAAATGTTCTGTTAAAACGAACTTCGACTTCCAACAATGGCAGTTCCTGTGACAACTCGTACCAGGACTCTGGCGCTCACGAAACGTCGGTTGTAGACAAAGCGCTTCTTGGCACGACCAGTCAGCTTCTGGCACAGTCGATTGGAGGAAATCATATTGGGAAATTATAGGAATATACGACATCACCAAGATAACTCCACCGAAAATGCTGGATATCTTCTGGCTAATCATTGGGAAACTGGAAGGATACCATGAATAAACAGTGGAAAAAGCATTCAAAAAATCAAACTAATCATGTGGAATTGCAAAGGATACGATATATTTGGAACAAAAATGATCAATATGGACCAGTTATATACTCATTCGTCTTCAACCAATCCCAATTAGTGAAGTAGTCGACTGATCATCACAAATCCTCCAAATCAGCCGGAGCCTTCTTCTTCTCGGCCTTTGCCACCTTGGGTGTCTGGTTCTTCACCTTACCGGCTCGCGCCAAACTGCCGTGCACCTGTCACGTGACGGACGTGTCTTTCACCCTGGCTGCCAGGTGTGTCTCAAAATGGGATTTATGATAGGATATGCCGCGAAATTGCAAATTCTCATAGGGAAATATGATGAACTATGGTAACATGATGATATACCATGGTGACAAATGGTGTTTGGGGGTACCCCATGTTCAGACAAACCTACTTGGTGGCACACTGGGCCTTGCCCATCTTGATCAACAGTGTAGCTCGGGCGAGTGCGTAGCGACGTAGCTGCCTTTCCCTTGAGCCAAATCGGGCGCAGTTGGATTCCACGACGGCAGTGAGACATGTCCTCAATGTCCTCAATGCTTTCAAGGTGGTGAACACATTAGTTTTCATGGACTGACAAGACTGATAGGAGGATCTGAGAAACTTCAAGAGTTCAAGGGGCCAGAACTCCCCAAAACAGATATCTTTTTGCTCAGCTTCGGGTTTCGTGGGTCTCGTGCCCCATTCCAGGCACATTTATGGTGCTTAGATCCTTGGGAAATGGCTAAACACCCTGGTGAGATGACACCAGCGACGGCTCACACATCCAGCAATGCTGCCATTGCTGGGTCTAAGGCTTCACCCTGACCTGGTCTAAGGTAACATGACAAGGCCGTCTGAGTTCGGAATGTGACAAGAAATTGCCCAAAACATCCCAAAACCCAACGAAAAACTGGATTGGTTTCCGAAGATTAAGCATGACAGAACCACTTATTGAAGGAATAATTGTTTTTAGCCACTAAAATGAAGCATTTTGATCCAGTTTGACCAGCTACCAATAGATTTTGTGGGACGCTGGTCTGTTGGGAAACCATGGGACGCGCCTTGCCCAGTGATGAGTTCAATCGCAGCCCGCAGGGCGTCGGCGGCGGCGTCGATCTCTTCCTCTCAGGTCATGGGGGGCTCTAAAAGTTGGGAGCCAACATGGAGTTGGTTCAGTTGTTTCAATGTGTTTCAATTGTTTCAATTGTTTCATATCTCATATTATATATATATACATATATGTATATATATACACATATATATATACATATATATATACATATATATATATATTTGTTCCGGGAGCTGCGAAATTGTTGAGTCTTGCCAGTGGAACTTCCCTCCGTCTGGAGATCACCGCACGGTGCGTCCTCGGTGTTGTAAAAATATGCGGACAGCCGAGCACTGGCAGCAATACCTGGGTTGACTCAAATGACTCAGCAATTCTGCTGCAAACTTTAGCAATTGTTTCATGAATGTGTGGATTTTAATGGGTTTCATGGAATTTCATGGTTTACCAGAGGGTAAAACTGGTTAAATCATGTGAAGTTCCCATAGTTTCTCTTGAAAAATATGAAAGTCAATGGGACGGATTATCCCATGTATATATATATATTGTTGATCCATGATGCAATGAATTTCGGAGCAACATGTTTTTCTCATCGTTTCTATTTCCAGAGCTACACTAATGGGTCTCCAAAAACACATCCGGCAATTTCAAATGGAGATGCTTGGTGCCTGGTGACTTGGTAGGATCAACTTGGTATTTGCCAGATCTCCATAGATCTCCCAGTACCCATAGTACCCATGGTTCATCCTGGTTCCCCGGGCACCGAGTTCAGTGTGCAAGGGCTGAGTGCAGTGGTGACCCGAGCGCATTGCGATGCCCCTGTCCTGTTGAGCGGTCGGTTGTCTTTGGCCAGAGACCTGACCTAAAATCATGTTCCGAAAATCATTCAGTGCCAATAATCACAGTCCTGGTCAATAATGGTGGCCAAGTCGTTCGCATGACAACCTCGGCACCACCCCCCCGAATCTTCTCACAGCTTCAGCCACAGAGCCACCATTTCAAGCTGTGCTGTGCCTTCCACGTTGAAGCACACCAACGATGCCCTGTCCTTGGCAACACAAAGTCACTCTGAAACTGACCACCTCGGGCTATCAAAAAGACGTAAAAGAGGAAAATTGTAAGAGATCCACTGTTCCAAACACTGGACTGCTACAGAAATTGCGTCTTCCTCTGTTGAGAGTTCAGACAATTAAGACCAGTTAAGACATGCGGCGGGATCCTCCTCGGGTGAAGGGCCATACATCGTGACCCCTGGCAGTGCAGCCACTCGATCCCACAGCCTCTTGGAGAGCTGATGCTCACCTCAGCTTCCCCGGGGTTCATCCATATGTCGTTGGATGTTACTGGGATGATCCATTTCTTTATGGAGTCATGATTCAACTGATTCAACTCTTCAATTATGTTGTTTACTGATTACAAACGTTGCTGATTCTACCAGATATTTTTGGCTTTAACCTCAGTTGGCAACTTGTGTTTGGCATGGTTCTTACTGTTTAGTCAGCGTAGCTGTTACAACTGAACGAGACAGTTGTGTGGATCCAAAATATTCACATAGTTTGACATGAACACACCACAGTTAAGGGTATGACCCCCTGCCCTATACGTTTGACCCAAAACTCTAATTACATACCACTTTACCTTTTTACATAGACATGAATCCTAGACACATGGATATAGTAATGACATGTAATGACTATAATCGTAGCCACCATGTAGATGCATGCTTCAATTGTTTGAAGATTATCCCTGTGTTGCTTGTATGTTATATGTCTTTGTCTCCAGCTGCATTGTTTCATATATACATTGACATACTTCACATGTTTCTTCTCGTGGTCAATACTGCTGTTTCTTTCAACAACAAAAAATGACAGTATCTTAGATAGTCTTATAAACAATATCATACCAAAATTAATTAGAAAATTATCAGGTGCATACATTTTATCACAGTTTATTGGCATTTTTTGGGCGGGCTGTGCAAAACAATTCCATCCGAGGCACGTCTTGCAATGGCGTCCATGCCCAGGCGCTGCAAATAATCACAGGCGCTGCCCAGTGCAATGGCTTCTGCAAACGCAGGTGTGCCCGCCTGTGCTGAGAAACCTAAGAAACCTGAGAGAGTGTATCAAGCATGGGATGCTTATGATTTGTTTGGTTCAGGCCATTTCCGACACGTTTCACTTGCCTCGAAGCGATGAGGAATGTCGTTGTAGGTGCTACCTTCGAGAAGCAAAGGCATGATAGTCGACAAATGCAGTTGACTACTGGCCATCTGCCCCGCCCTGAAAGTTTCAACAAAACAGGTCAAATGATGCAAGCAACACCACCTTTCACCCGTTGTCAATGCTTTCCAGTTGGATCAAATTGATGGCCAAGAATTGCTCAAAGCACTGTTGGGGCCATTTGGATTGGCAAATGGATTGGACCTTCCCAAGTTCCCCCCATGGTTCAACCATTCACAATTCTTAATGGGACACAAAATCACCATCAATTCTCCATGGACTTACCATGCACAAAGATTGACCATGGAATTCACATCCTTCCAGGTCCTTCCAGGTCCAATCACCACCGGCCTTCCAGCTTCACCTCATCGATCATCTCGCCACCGCCCAGGAAAGGCGGTGAGGCGCGTAAGAGCTCGGCCCGTCCCCAGAGGAAACCGATGCCCGTGGGGCCACACATCTTATGACCTCGGCGACGAGAAGTGGTTTGTTCACCCATTATACATAGAAAGTATCTGGTTTCTTATTATCTAGTTATTCTTATGACTTTTTTATGTATTTAGTTTTTTGTCTAGTTATTTAACTATTTAATCAATTCATTAATCTAATTTACCAATTTATTCATTAGTTATTAATAAATTTATTATCTATACAAGTGCCTACCTATATACCTATTTGTATATACTTATATCTTATGTATAATATGTGAATATTATATATACTATATGTATGATAAAAACAATATATCTTTGATGGAAATAGAAGCAAAACACATATCCAGATGGGAAATGGGAAATACAGGAAAATCTGGATAAAATGCATGTGCAACGGGAAAATCATCTGGAGTTGTATACAACTAGGGGGTTCCCATTGAGGGGTGTGGCACTTGGGTGTGCATCCCATCGAAAGTGGCTGGTTCCCATTGAAAAAATGGGCGAGCTATGTTTTAAGTCGGTGGACATCCCGTAAATCGGCGCCATGCAGTGGGAGGGATATGGATGTGGATATGGCCCATTGATGACTTTGGATTAACGATGATATGATCGGGATATCGTAGGGATATAGACCCAGCTTGGTTCCAGGGTTGGGTTCCAGTTCGCAAACAACGGCGCCCCATTCCAGCAGCTTCCTTGGCCGCCACCTGGCCACCATGGCACTGCTGGCCACCAGCCAGTCCGCTCCCAGGGTTTGAACGTTGACGGGCATGTGAGGCACCTGGGTGTCATGGACCGTGGCAATTCCAGGCTTTTAAAAAGGATGAAACTCTTTTGACATAAATGAAAAGGACTTTTTGAGGAGGAATGATATTAAAATGATTAAACTAATGATATTAATGATTGAAAATGTGTGTTTCATGATGGGAGGTCCCTGTGCAAGTGTTCAACACAGGAAAGGAGATCCTGAGGGCTCTTCCCACAACTTGAACTGTTCGGGTCGCTGTGTGACCGCTAGAGTGCATGGCAGAACAAAGAGTCAAACTCACTGTCTCCTCAAAATAGAAACATATATATATATATAAATGATTGAAAATGCCTAGTTATCTGTGATCCCAGGTCCAATTTACAAGATTCATGTGGTCATATGATGGTCCAGGGCACGCTCTGACAGGCATCCACCAAAAGCTTGGCATCCACGGACTGACATTTCTTGGCCACACGCTCAATGGGATTGACACAGCCCAGTACGTTGGAGACGTGGCAAAGCCCTACTAACTTCGTCCTGGCAGACCCGGAATACTTGTCCCAAACTAATCGTCCATCAAAATCATCAAAGGTTTCCTTCACAAAATTGAAATCCAACTATGTATATATATATATGTATATGTATATACTGTATATATTATATTAATTGACAACAGAGTTTCCAAAACTTGTTGAATCCGAGGCTGTCTCACTTCGCAAGGCTTTCTCTTGTTGGATCGTGTCAAAACCCCAGGAGTTGGGTGAGTCCCTGATCTCCACCCTCCTCTCTGTGATGAGGCTCTCGAAGTGGTCTATGTCCTTAGTGTTAACTGAACTGATTTCAGCTGACCAAATTGACCAATCTGATTTCAGTGGCAGATGTTGGCAGATGTTGGCAGATGTTGGTCACCACAGAATCCTTACCCAGGTAAGGCTTACCATCTCCAAAGGGCAAGGCTCGAGGGTGCCATTGCTGCGAAGACGTCCAAATTTCAGCGTGGCACCAGTGGATTCGGCCAACTGTTGCCACGGCACCAGATTTGAATGATGCTCCTGGCAGGATCTTTTTTACCCGACAACACAGACACCGCCAACCCGGCCCGTCCATGACGGTGAGCACAATCTCATCTCCAGACCTTGAGCTGCGACCAGCGCCGCTTCCACCAGAATACGAAGAAGTAGCAACATCAACAGCAACAGCAGCAACAAGAACAAGAAGAACAAGAACGAGGAGAAGACCGAGAAGTCCATCGAGGAAAAGGAAAAAGAATGACATATGGAAGAAAAACACGGAAAATAGAGAAAAGAAGGAGAACATAACCAAAAAAACAAAGAAGAAGATGAAGATCATCACCATCATCGTCGTCGTCGTCGTCATCATCATCATCACCATCACTATTATTACCACTATTATTATCATCATCACCATAATTAATCACTAATAATACCAGACGAGCCACGCGATGTTCGCTGCACCCCAGGTCCGGGCCACCAGGTTGATGGCCTCCGTAGCGTTCCTGGTGAAGATGATCTCCTCGAAACCCGCGGTAAAAGGTCCCTGCGAAAATACGAAAATAGGGGCATCATAGAACATATACAAGTTGTATATATCATATATATATGATATAATATGATATACTATTATATATATACGATATATATATATACATTTGTACATAACAGGTACTATAACATATCTAATGTATCCAATTCAGTCAAGATTTTTTGATGGAATTTCCCGTCAATAGACCAGTTCTACAGCGTCACCACCCAAAATTCCTTAAAGTTTTTACATCCAAAGATCATCTCGGACCGACGCGCAGCCAAGGCTCATGTACATCTGGAGCATTCACAAAATCTGCCACCTTTTTCCGAGCGCCCTCAAAGGCTTCGGTGGAACGCATGGACAAAGTGTGCATGCCACGGTGAACGTTGCCTGACACGAAGAAAGACCAAGATGAAGGGCTGGCAGTCCATGTTTTATTCCCAACTCTCCCACCTGGCCGCACTTCAGTTTCTATACATTGAACAAGGGGCTCGGTGCAGAAGTCTTGCGAGGATCAAGGCTGCACAAACGGTAGGGTAGGACAGAGCGGCATGGGTTGACCCAAACAATTCGCCATAATCTCACATTTCTCACTGCTATTCCCACTTCCATCAAAAAACCTTTTTAAAAAAAAGTGTCAAAGTATGTCAAAGTCATCATATCCAACATTTCATAATATGTCCAACTCAATTTGTTTTAAAAAAAAGAAACGGAAAACACACCGTTTCAGAACCGAGGCCAGCTGCTGTTGTCGCTGCCATAAAAGCGGTTCAACTCCTCCAGGACATGCCGTGGCTTTTGGGAGGTGGCTGCATTGTCCAGGTAGACCAAGCGGATGCCCGGCTTCACCTGCAGAAGGATTCAGAAATCCAGAAATCCCATGAAAAACAGAACCTGTTAAACATATTTAAACATATTTAAACATAACATCCACTAGAAAATGATCATTGTCACCCAAAATCAACATGATGAACATCATGATTCGACATAGATGAACATCATGAACACTTAGCTGTGGTCTCATGGAGGTTCAAGCCATCTACTCAACGTGCGCAACTGCACCTCCTGCTGCAAGGCAGGAAAATCCCCGCGAATCTCATCCCAGTTGGCAGCCAGGCGACACCTGCAATGTGGATACAAACAGAAACATATACATATATGTGTATATATATATACACATTTTGTAGTATTATGACTTATGTGTATTTGTATATACAGACATCTATCTATATATATATATATATATGATGATTTAGATTTCTATCGCTTCAGCATGTTGAGGAAGATCCCAGGTGCCTGGATCTCGCTGTCGCTCGAGTCCCTCGCCTGGAGAGCCTGGTGGTCCTTGCCGCGTGGAGCTTGGAATCGCCCGAACAGCCCTATGGATAGTTCGTTAATTGTTGGATGTTATTGATGGATAGTTGGTCACTATTGATGGATAAAAATGCCCTGTTGATGGATGTTATTGGTCACTAGATGTCACTAGTTAGGTTAGTTCTTTCCTTTCTCAGGTAGATAGATAGACACAGATACGGAGATACACGGACATATTTGAAAGATGTAAGTGCATTGCAAATACAAACACCCATGAAAACACCCAATCAGGATATCACATAGCCTCACGTAGCCTCAAGTCCCCAAGAAAATCATCCATAGGGAAAATGATCAGAAAAAGAACCAGCACAACACAGTTGGAAATCCTTGGAACTTTGCCTGAAATGGGAATCAGCACAACAAATTGGCTACCTATTTCTGTAGGATGGTGAACAACCACTCAGCTGTTGTAGGGCCATTTTTTAGGGCAGCGTAAAGAAAACAGCTACCACACAACACAAGCACCAAGCACCTGGGGCGATGTTAGCAACTTTCATCACTTTGCACTTCCCCATTTGTTTCACAACCGCTTTTCTTGCCACAGGATGATTCACCTCTTCTAGGTGCCCTTACGTTGCCAGCGCGACTCCAGCCAGAGCCAAACTTCGACGCTCTGGTATCTCTGGCCAAGGAACACCTTTTGCCTCCACAGCTGAATCGGCAGAACAAGAATGACAGAAGTCCATCTTAAAAGAGCTGAACTATAGAAAGAAGTATGTGTCGAAGGCAATAATTTCTGAATGAGATTGTATGAGATTGTATTGCTTTAATCTTGATTCTGGATCCAATGACGATCAGACCTCGAAACTCCAGGGCCCCAACCTCTGCATTTGCAGACGGCACCAGAACAGGCTGGTAGGGCCTACAGATGCTGAGAAAGGACAAGACCTGGAAAATTCTGTGCTCCCTTCATCTTGAATCCCATGTGACGCCAATCACACGTCATGAACGGAACCTTGTAGACGGAGACAAAGTCAGCGCCATTTGGAAAAAGGAATAAAAATAGGGAAAGAGCCCTGGTTAGTTTCTTTTTCAGTCAGCTTCATATCCATGTCATCATGCTTTGATACGACCAAAAACATAGCCTGGCTCCACATCACTTGGAGGCTCGATCTCTACACTGCCGTATCCAACGATCACTGCCAAGGTATCCAAAGTTGACAGCTGAATTGCCTTGTAAGATCAATCTTAAAATTCAAAACCCTTGGCAATGCAGCGAACCAACAATTACGGCAATGCAGCGAGCCATCCATGAATCGCACTTGCATACTTCGCTGACTTCACACCCGTCAAAGGTCCGCATGTTCCTTGAAACCCCTTTCCAAGCCATCATATTTCCATAAAGAGTCTGCAAATCACGCCAATCAAAGGGTGTCATACAATTGAGATATTTTCTCAAAATTCTTCTGCACAACTTCCCGTGATTGGTCAAAGTTTGCCTTTATTCCACGTGAATGGGGTGAATGGCAGCTCACTGGTCGACAAGTTTATGCAGTGGTGCAGGCACATGTCGACCGCACCATTTCTTCTCGATGATGGGTTTCTGCCCCCATTGGAGCGACACTGAGTCTGCTTCCAACCAGCCACAGAAGTGGACCGGAAGCAAAATGAAACAAGTTAAGCTTCAGTATCTTCCGCACTTTCTTGTGGCACTTCATGTCTGGAATTTTTGAATGCTTCCAACCGGTTCGACCACCGAGTCTTTGCAATGCAAAACGCACACTTGGCGTGTTTGCCTAGAAGTGAGTGCCTCCCTACGAATCAAACAAGACACCAACTCAGTTGTGGGCACAGAAATTGTTGGATATGGACACCATGAACCATGAAACTGATGAAACTGCGCGGTGAAACGGTGAAACTCCTCGGATTCGTAGGGAGCCCTCTTTGCCAATTTGACATTTCGCTTTGCGCTGCACGTCTTCGTGCTCTTCGAAAGTCATCGCTTTTTGGGAAAGGAAAGGAACACTGTTGATTCATATACAACATGATTGATATATCTGATTGATATATCTGATTGATATCTCAACAGTGAATATGATTGATAAACATCAACTGAATGAATATGATTGATATCTCATGAACCTCGATAGATCTCGATAGTGGGTGCTGGCCAGAACAAGACAGCACCAGCTGGCCAGACTTCTGAGAAAATCGGAGTCATTGAGTCATTGCTATCTTATCCACAGCTTCACTCCCAAGTCTTATGACTCACAAAGGAGTACATGTACAAACCCTTGAGCAGTAGGCTGTTTAGATCTGTTTACCCCTTTAGTGTAGGGATATCATGGGATATCACTGATATCACACCAGAAATGTGTTTTTTTTGCTGTTGAACTGTTGAAATGCACATCTCGACGACCTGCGGAGCCTGCGGAGCCCGCGGAGCCCGCCGGGGGCTGAAGGCGTCACCACTTTAGCACCTTAGAACAGCTGCGACATGGCGACATGTAGAGAGTGTAGGGTACCGTATTAGTACCGTATAAGTATGGGGTGGGACTATATCAGGGTAGGGATTCCAAATTTGGTCACCCCAGAGAGTTGTTGTTCCAGAAACTGGTGGATCCCAGTGGAATCGGCTAAGTTGGTACATCTCTTTTTCGGCGCAGCTTAGCTGCCTCCAACGCCCCCCTCCTCCTCCTGTGCGTGGGGAACGGGTGCTGGATTGACGCGCTACGGCCAGGGTAGGAACAGCCACGCAGCTTCACGTAAAAGCGACGTTAAAGACCTTGTGCTTGACGTCTTGTCTTGTCAGGTGGATCTGGACATTGCAAAGATCCTTGATCTCTATCGTAAACTCTGAAGCATCAACGTTGATGGTGCTGGCATGTGCTGGCTGAACTTCTACCCAGGCTCTTGTACTGACAGAAAACCTCATTGCAATTGTAACTTGCGCCATGGCCAGAACAAGGACCTTCAGTGAGATCTAAAACATCCTCCTGAATCAAAAAGTGTTGAATTGAAACCGGAACTTGAGTTTCATTGATACACCAGTGTTGGAGACTTTGCTCTCTGTGAGGTTCTTCATTTTGTGTACTGTAAGTCTCTTGTTGAGTCCTTGGCACAAGCTTCTCCAATTGCCATGGGTGGGCGCGTCAGTATAATTTGGGAATTCCTATCTCCGTCTTAGACGATGTAGAATACAAAAGCTATGCGGGTCCATCCAAGAGAACGTGCATCTGCATAAGGAGCAGAATCATCACAAGCTACTGACAACATCCATAGCTGCTCCGTCACTGCGTCACTGCTTCGCTGCTTCACCTGGACCGCGGAACCTGCCTCTGCTCGGATCTGGCTTTACAATTTGCCAGGCCTCTGAGCGATGCCAGGAATTGGTTACAGTTGCCACTCACTACCTGTGCAAACCTCAGCACCGTGTGCAAATGATGCAAATGGGAAGCCGCAAAGGGCTGCCACCGACCATTTTTCTTCAAAAGAATTGGCTGAGAAAAATTCCATTTTTCATATCGTTTCATCCAATCCACTACGCCCGATCCCCACATGTCCCCACCTTCGGACTGTCACCAAATGTCACCAGTCCTGGCACTGCCCCGGTAGCAGCATGCAGCTGTGTCTCAAAAAAAACATCGTTTATTTATATATATATATAATTATATAGTATATATATAATTATATAGACATATATATATATATATCTTGCATGACAATGCGTGACAATTTTTACCCAACATCCTCCAGTTTGATGGCTTGAAAGGGACCGAAGGATCATTACCATGTTGACTGCCAATCACACGTCAACAAATCAGCCGTACAAACAAAATACAACCGCTACTAAGCTGAAAACGCGTGATGCTATCACCCCACCTGAATCCATGGTGGAAATATGGGATGACACTTTCTTAGTAGAGGGGGTTTTCAGGGAGTTTATGGTTTTATGTTGGCTGTTGTTTCTTTCAAGCATGATGTTCTATGTTTGTTCCTTGCAGTTGATGCTTTTTCTCTGGTGGTTTCTGATGATTTGTTTGTTGCTAACTTTCACTCTGTGTGTTTTTGTTTTGTGAGGTGGGCAACTGTTGATGCGGTTGTGTGTTCTTTAGAAGGATGGTTTGGGCTGCTGATTGCTGATTACTTCATGACGTCTTTCATGGATACCATCCCAAAAGTATTCAAAAAGCTCTCATCGACCTATCGATGAATGATGGTGAATACTTTTGTTCATCTCAGCTTTTTTTGCGGCCAAATTCTCTAAAGTGACTAGTCAAATCTCATCAACTGAAAGCCTTCACATCTCCGTCTTGGATCAAGTCTTCACCATGAACAACGACTGCAAAGTCTAATCATTACAATAATCATCCCCATCATGTGAGAAAAACATCACCGATGAACTTTGACACCAAAATCTCCCCAGATTTTGGGCACATTGGAAAACATTAACCCCAAGAAACACATGCAAAGTGTTTAGCAAGCTACAAATATACAAGTTCATACAAGTTCCGGAAAGCCCTTCTTTGGGGATCTGCCATATCTATCCACAGGGCACCCCATCCTCAATTTTCGTCTCCAAGGACATCTTACCCTTGCCACCATCAGAGGCCTGCCGTTGCGGATGGAAAGTTTGGATAAGCGGGTGCGAGTTTTAGTGAGCTGATGGAAAGAAAAATGGGGAAAAAACATCAAAACGTATTAATATTATGGATACCGTCTGAATACTATCAACATCTATAAATACTAACAGCAGTATCCATATGACTAACACCAACATATGTCACATATATTTGTATGATACCCATTTGAGTAAAAACTCAAGTTTCATGGAAATCGGTGGATGTTTCCATCGGACGCCTGGAAAGAGCCCGTGATCTTCATCTCTTTCAAATTCACCCGCCCGGTAAAGTGCATCGTCCCCCAGGGATACTCCTGGCACAGTGCAGCCCGTGCAGCCCGTGCAGCCCGTGCAGCCCGTGCCGTTGCGAAAAATGAGGAGAACGGCATTTTCAGGCGCGGACCTCCATCCACTGGACATTGGGCATGTCCAAACGGCCTGACAGATTGCCCTCTTCGTGGGATCCGAGAATGCAGCCGTTGAGTGCAAACTTCAGATGTCGCGACTCGTTCCTGCAACACGCATTGCGTAGCCCCCAGGCACAGAATGGTGAGCATGGTGAGGCAGGAGACCATTCTTCCGACACTTGAGGAATTCTTTGTAGCACCTATAGCTTGTCAAAGCAACAAATGGTCGATTGAAACGCTGGCATGCTTGCAACTGCACTATACTCGACAACTCCATTTCTGACAGTCCAATAGTTAAAGCATGTTAAAACAAAGTGCAGTTCCAGAACAACAGATTTCAATGGATCGTGAATCATCCCATGGAGGCATAACATGCCCAAACATTCGATGATCTCCTGGAGTTTTTCTTGCCCTCTTCGATGTTCGCGGTCCATTCCCCCGTAAGCCTTTCTGGCAACTCGTCAGAGGTCAGACCTGACATGGCAACAGTTCCAGATTTCGCCATGCCTTGTAGGGCCCTGTAGCTCATGAATTCCAATATGTTCAGAAACATGGCGGTGTTTTGTCTTTCCCAGATCTCCAAATGTTCCCACAGCCTGTAGAGGCCGACATATCTCCATCTGACCTTCTTCGAAAGGCATTCGAAGTCTGGCAACGGGGAATGGGCGATAGTGAATAAGGAAAAAAACTCCGGCACCAGTCACAACAATGCAAACAAATCAAAAAGTTGCGACCACGTCCACCCAAAAACATTTTGAATCATGTCTATATGTTCTTATACCAAACATACCTATGCCATATATAATGTCAGTTATATCATATGTATATCTATCAAAGAAAGTTTAGTTCGAAAACTTCCGAATTACGGACGAATGTCCAGGCGCAGTCTTTTCATCATGTCATCAAGTGAGCAGCAGACAAGAGCAACAGTGTGGAAGCGAGTGAAATCATGGGTGAAAACACTCTCGGGCGCCAAACTCTGTCTTGCTTCGGGTAAAGTGGTGTCCCGGGTTGCCGAAGTAGGGTCTTCTTTTCCGCAGGTGCCCGCCTCAACGGGCTCCACGGGCTCTACGGGTACGGGCTCCAGCTCCACGGGCTCTGTGGGCTCTACGGGCTCCACGGGCTCTACGGGCTCCACGGGCTCTACGAGCTCTACGGGCTCCACGGGCTCTACGAGCTCTACGGGCTCCACGGGCTCCACGGGCTCAACGATCGCGATCCAAAATCAAACGCAAAATCAAAGCTCTAAGCGAACCAAAATCAAACGTACAAGCGAGAAAAACGCAAATGTTCAAGCGAACCCCCGGCCCTTTGCGTGGCAGGCGTGGCCCTTGTGGCACTGGGCTGGGTCTGGTGGCGCACTTGGGCGCGGTCGCCCGGGGCGCCGCGCCACTTTGCGTGGCAGGCGTGCCGCTTGGTGACATTGATGTTCCATTTGCGTGGCAGGCGTGGCTTTTGGTGACATTGACCTTCCATTTGCGTGGCAGGCGTGGCACTTGGCGACATCCACCTTCGTTTTGCGTGGCAGGTGTGGCACGTGGTGACATTGACGTTCCATTTGCGTGGCAGGCGTGGCACTTGGTGGACATTGACGTTCCATTTGCGTGGCGGGCGTGGCACTTGGTGACATTGACTTTCCATTTGCGTGGCAGGTGTGGCACTTGCGCACATCCACCTTCGAAGCAGGTGTGGCATGTGGTCACATCCACAAGTGAAGTTGCGTAGCAGCTGTGGCACTTGCTCACATCGACCTACGTTTTGTCAGTCTTAATTTGTGCCTGTTTGATAGAAACTGTCTGATTGAAACTGTGTGGAAGCGATGTTTGTTTGCGTGTGTTTGGCCATGTCTTACTTGCACACAGTGTTGGCTGTATTAGCTACTTCGTCATTTGGTTATCTATGTATGGTCTGGTCGCTTTGGCTCAACGTGGGAAGAGGCTTTGTGCACATTTGATAGATACTTTGTGGAAGCGATGCTGGCCTGCGTCTGCATGTTTGATAGATAGCCATGTTGATATAGCTATGTGTCACTTGCACGCGATGTTTAGCTAATGTTGCCACATTGGTGCATGTCTCGCGCAGGTACCTTCCCGAGCATCTTTCCGCAAAGGAAGCGATGCTGGCATGTTTCGCTTTGGCCCAAGTGGGAAAAGGCTTTGTGCATGTTTGAAGCCTTGTGCATGTTTGATGGAAACCCTTATTGCAAGCGATGCTGGCATGTTTGGCATGTTTCGCTTTGGCCCAACGTGGGCAGAGGCCTTGTGCATGTTTGATGGAAACCTTATTGGAAGCGATGCTGGCATGTTTCGCATGTTTCGCCTTGGCCCAACGTGGGAAGAGGCCTTGTGCATGTTTGATAGAAACTTTGTGGAAGCGACGCCGGCATGTTTTGTAGAAACTGCATCCCAGCCATGTTTAGCTGTGTGTCACTGGCGTATGTTGCCTGTCTCTCGCATTGCCGCCAGGTACCTCCCCGAGCGTCTGTACGCAAGGACAATGCACCTGAATTTAGCCGTGCTGGCTTTGACGTACTGTCGCAGGGTGTGTTTGTGTTGAACATATGCTTCTAGCTCTGGTTCAATGTTTTGTGGTCTTTTCGATCCTGCAAACGCATTTGCGTGCATTCAGTTCTTTCCTGTGGTTTGTGTTTCTCACCACGGCAGCTCTATTAGCTTCGCAGACAGGTACCTTTCCTTTCTCATTCATGGACATCGGGTCACTGGAGGTAGGACACGCCTGGCTTGCATCTGAGTTGGGTGAAGCTGGCTTTGACTCAAAGTTGGAAGAAGCATTGGAGCGCTTGGTTCATGTCACTTTGGTTGTGTCCGCTGGACGGCTTGTTTGCGCATGTGATACTTGTAGATATGGTTTGCAGTTGCATATTTATGGCTGTCTTGTTGTCAGGTGCTTTTTGTTCGAAGCTTCGCACTGATGGAGGCGTTGCAATTGCGCTGGGTGGTGTTGTGAATTGTAGTGTGTGGATTGCTTAACGATAGAATGCGGTGCACACTTGAAGAACCTCATTGCTGTGGTTCATGGTCAGTGCAAGTGGCAAGACCGTCAAACACTGCCACACGTAGTAGCAGCATACATAGTATCAGCATAAGATTTGATAGTTACTTGCACAACAGACTGCCATCGCATGATCTGGTTATTTAATTCTGATCGATCGCTTCGCTGTTGCCGCATTGCTGCATGTCGCTCGCACTGCTGCCAGGTACCTCCCCGATCGTTCTGACCCAACGTTGGAAGAAATCGCGCCCGCCGCAGTTGACGTTGCCTGTGCACCAAGAAAAAAGGTGCGTATTTGTGCCGTATGTGCGCGCCAATGAGCTCCTCGTTTCACAACTTTGTCACACACTCTCTTTCACACACAACTTTCACGCGCGCCATCTTTCACACACAACTTTGTCACACACTCTCTTTCACACAACTTTCACACACACCATCTTTCACACACAACTTTGTCACACACCATCTGTCTTTGTCACACACCATCTTTCACATACAACTGTGTCACACACATTTTTTTTTACTGTTCGATCCTTCACCACCTCCTTTGTCTTTCCTTCCTTCCCGGTCCCGCTACAACATTTGTTGCTCATTATTGGAAGAAGTTGACTTGTGGGGTTAGCCGGTCCTTTAATTTATATATCTCTCTATGCGTTTATTTATTTATTCATTTATTCATTTATTTATTTATTTATTATTCATTTATTTAATTAATTTATTTAATTAATTTATTTAATTAATTTATTTAATTAATTTATTTAATTAATTTATTTAATTTATTTATTTAATTTATTCATGTAATTTATTTATTTGTTTTAATTAATCTATGTATTTATACATATACACATATACACGTATACATATATATATATATTATTGATTTAAATATCTTATTTATTTACTTATTTATTTCTTTGTTTTTTATTCGTTTATCTATCTATTTATTGATTTTTTTATGGTATGATATCATCCATATGACGACCATCTACCCTTTGCAGCCTTGGAGGACGTCTCGGGCATTGAGCTCCGGCGCTTTCGCCGCGCGGGGGAGGAGCGGCCGCTGCTGCGGCGGCGGCGCTGCTGCTCCAGGGGCATCGGCATCGGCTTGCCGTGCTCCTCCTGGGGATCCAGGAAATCACCACCGTTTCACCATAAAAGATGACCCATGCATGGCCCATTAATCATCATTTTTTGCCATGGCGTATTCCAGCACACAAAAGGAGCATGTTCCATGCCGATGTTGACAAAACCGGAGGATATATTAATGAAAACAGATACATATAGTCTATCATGTTAAACAGTATGGTGGGTGTGTGTGTTGTATCTACCGTATATGCGTATATGAATTAAATGAGTTGCGCGTCTGTGACACTGTGCTCATGCGAGATGGAAACCACAGTTGTACCCAAAATAAGCTTCGGTGGTATCCCCAACAGCCGCAACGTTGATTCTTTTACAAATCTTTCTGAAGCGTGCTGCGAATACAAGCGCTGGAAACACCTCAGCTGGGTTTCCGTGAGTTACACGGCCGCAAATCCTGTTAACCTGACCTGGCTCTGCACCAAAGCCTCCCAGACCTTCTCGGGAACCTTGTCGGGAACCTTCTCCGGAACCCTGTTGAACCTGACCTCTGCACCAAAGCCTCCAGACCTTCTTCTCCGGAACTCTGTTGAACCTGACCTGGCTTTGCACCAAAGCCTCACAGACCTTCTCCGGAACCTTCCCCGGAACTCTGTTGAACCTGGCCTGGCTCTGCACCAAAGCCTCCCGGAACCTTCTCCGGAATCTTCTCCGGAACTCTGTTGAACCTGACGTGGCTTTGCACCAAAGCGTCACAGACCTTCTCCGGAACCTTCCCCGGAACTCTGTTGAACCTGGCCTGGCTCTGCACCAAAGCCTCTTCTCCGGAACCTTCTCCGCCTGTTCAATCTGACCTGGTGCTGCACCAAAGCCTCCAAGAACTTGTCCGGAACCTTCTCTCCGGATCCTTCTGTGGCACCTGCTCCGGAACCCTTTTCAACTTGACCTTGCTCTGCACCAAAGCCTCCAGACCTTCTCCGGAACCTTCGGAACCTTCTCCGAAACCCTCTTGAACCTGACTTGGCTATTTGTGCAGCAACTAGTTGGTCCAAGAAGATTGCAGACGGCGTCAGGATGAGAGCGGTGCCGAAGGATCTGAAGATTGGTCAGCGGTCCTGGATTTCGCAAACGGAGCTTTTGTGCATTGCTGTCAACTCGAGGGTGGCCGTTCAGCCACAGCGAATTGCCCAGGTGGGTGGACGGCTTCGAGCACGACATGCAAGAGGTGTCAATGTTTGGATGTTGGCTCAATATGTCAGGGATGTTGGCCAGATCAGTAACTGCTGACTCTTCCTTTTCCAGTGGACCTGCTGTCAGGTGTCCCCTTTCGAATATCATCTTCACGCTGGAGTCCGCAGCTAAGCAGCGAGCGAAGATTCAGATTGCGGGAGCTGGATTCAGATGCTTAGAGGCCGGTGCTTTGCGCAGTGGCGAACTGCACTTGAATGCAGCCGGACTCATCACTCAAGGCTTTGCTGTCGCTGTGAAAGTGGTGGCATCCGGAACCTTGTTGAACCTGATCTGGCTCTGCACCAAAGCCTCCCAAACCTTCTCCGGACTTCTCCGGAACCTTCTCCTGAACCCTGTTGAACGTGACCTGCAGGCTCTGCACCAAAGCCTCCCAGACCTTCTCCGGAACCTTCGGAACCGTCTCCGGAACCTCGTTGAACCTGACCCGGCGCCCGCACCAGTGCACACCGGAGCTATTCTGGGCTGAAGACCCATTAGCTTACGCTGTTGGGGAAAAAAGTGGAAAAACGAAAGGTTAACCTGCATGACGAAGGGTAGTCTGACAAATTCAAGTTCTCGTTTCCATCCTTGAAATGTCTGAAACTTGAGGCCAAATGGAAGGGGACGAAAGCAAGTGGGCAAGGAGAGATGTGTAATGAGAGGGTGTGTCCGGGTATTTGGCGTGACCTTTGAAATTTCAAGTTCCGAACTAAAATTGAGAAAAAAGGTCGCGCCAAATCCGCTCTCCACTACACAAATAACCCAGGCTTAGGATCTGGTACAGTAAGCTAGGTACATACATCCATCCAGCAAGAAATGTTTGGGAATCTTAAGATACAAAACTTCCATTCCTCGCAAAGACTGGGTCGTGTTTTCACGCAGACGTCTTGAGGACCCGGAGTGCAAGAATCCAAGTGGCTGTTCATGGTTGTCCTCTCATCTCATTACATTTTTTACAGTGCACTCCATTCGCGTAGGTTACATTCCATTAGATAGATTAAATTAGATTAGATTAGATTAAATTAGATTAGATCAGACTGGAGTAGAGAAGATTAGATCATGGCGTTCCTCTTGGTGTTTCCTCATGCATGGCACGTTTTAGACTGTTGTGTTTGGCTCACTTCTTTCCTGTTTGATACCTTCACCAAATCCTCCTGCCTGCAGGTATTATCATCCATGACAATCACTTTCATCCAATGGCATTTATCTCAATGCTTTGGGGTGCAAGGATGTATTGAGTGTTACGTTTGGCTGAGTTCCAGTTCGTTTGATACCTTTACCAACTCTTGCAGTGTGAACGTACCATCCATGACAATTTATGTCTCCAACGGAGTTCGTCTGAATGTTTCAGGATGCGTGGCGTCTATTCGACTGTTATGTTTGGCTGCGTTCCATCCCGGTTTGATACCTTCACCAAATCTTGCGGCGTGAAGGTATCACCCAAGACAATTTTATGTGTCGAATAGCGTTCATATTGGTGCTTCTGGATGCATACCATGTATTCGACTGCTGTGTTTGTCAACCGTGCGTTGGATTGCATTACATTACATTACATTCACAAGACTCACAGTGAATATCATATTATATATCTGCATCCAAGTGGTTGTTCTCTCATTGCATTGCATTGCACTGCGTTGCATTCCATTACATCACAGTACATTGCATTCCATTGCATCGCGCTACATTACACTACATTGCATTGCGTTACATTACATTACATTACATTCACAACACTCACGACACTCAGGGTGAATGGTTTCTTTTACACGTGCGCGTGGACATGCGACAGCCTGGTCGCAGATGAAACCCAGCAGGATGGACGCAGCGGGGTTTGAACGCGTGGGAACATCATGAGCAAAAAAACGCCAGCTAGCAAGCTAGCTTTCGTGATCTGTCAACAAACACTTGCATTTGAAGAGATTTGTGAACCATTCAGCACCATGACAACAGAACCTGCTCGCCGACTCGACTCAACCGTGTCCTGAGGCTCATCAGTCACAGCTGTGTTGTCTGACCTCGCTAATCGGAAAGGACGATATCCTGGCTAATCTTGGATCTGACTGTGCCGGATTCTTGACAAGTGATGGCTTTTAGCTGAGTATGTCGCTGGGTTCGCTTGTGGCAGAATGAAAGTATAGCAAATGACCCACCCTTTTAGTTTCCCAGGTATTGGATTGAAGTCAATCGCTCATTTTTCATTGTTATAACAGTCATTCAATCCAACCGTTTCCTTGGAAAGCACATAGAAACCAATCATTTTGGCGTTCAAACGACGCCCTGCGCTCCACGCCTCATGCTGTTACTTCGAGGTATCTCAGCCAAGGGATTACCTCGGATATATATATATATATATAGATATAGATATAGATATATATATACATATATATAATATCTAAATCCTATTTACAATATATATTTAATATATAAAATATAGAATATACACAATGGAAAAATATATATATATACATATATAATATTCAAATCTTGTTTGCAATAAACAAAAAAACATATAAAATATCACATATATACTTTTAAAAAATAATACATATGTGATATATAGTTTATTATATTTTTATATATGTAATATATACACAGATACATATAAATATATATATATAAGTAATACATATATATATAAACAAACAAACAATATATATATACATCAATTATATTTTATATATAATAAATATAAAGATATAAAAACATATATGCAATAATGTAAATATGAAATCAAATATATCTATATATATACTTAACAAAAGGATCTTTTTACATACATATGTTAAAGTACTACATATTCATATACATATACAATAAATATATATAATATGATATATATATATCGTATATTATGTATAATATATAAATTATATAGAATATTTTCTATAATATATGAAATATATAATCTATATAATTTAATAAATATATATTATATATATTCTATATAATTTAGTAAATATAGAAAATATATATATAATATATAATATATTTAAAATAAATAGAATCATATAAAAGAAAAAGAAATATATAATATATAATCCATTTTTAAAATATCTAATGTATATATATATACAGTACTTTAAAAACATTACAGTATATAGTTTATATAAAATAATACATATAATATTTATTTAAAAAAAAAAAAAAAACATAATATGTATATATATACTATATAGAATATTTAAAGTATATATATATATAATAAATAGAATATATATATATATAGTATTGTATATATATTATACATATAATCTAAAAAATATGTAATATATTAAAAAAAAAAGTATATATATGTAATTTATATACATAAATGTGATATATATATATATTACATTTATACATCTGCATTACATTTGTTTTTTTACATAGAATACGGCTTTAACTCAAAAAATATATAAAGGATATATATTCATAATATATATGTGAATATATATATATATTATATTTATATATAAATGATATATATATATATGTATTATATTTATATATAAACGATATATATATATATTGCTATACCCCTGTAATGCTTATAACTAAACTTTAAAGCGTGGCAAACCTGCAGGCCAAAGGGGGCGGCAACGCCTGCGGCAGAAATTTGAATTGCGGGTCAAAATAGCGGGCCACCCTCCAGCCACTTTTCCCCGAACTAACTCTTGCAGCTCTCCCAGGCCCATCCCCAACTGTTTCCACCCAGGTTCTCCCAGGAAATCCCGGAACCCCACAAAAGCGCAGAAAATAACACCCAGGTTCTCCCAGGAAATCCCGGAAACCCACAAAAACGCAGAAAATAACACCCAGGTTCTCCCAGGAAATCCCGGAAACTCCACAAAATCGCAGAAAATAGCACCCAGGTTCTTTGAGGAAATCCCGGAAACCCACAAAATCACAGGAAATCACTAATTTCCTGGGAGAACCCGGGAGAACCTGGGAGAACCTGGGAGAACCTGGGAGAATCTGGGAGAACCTGCAAGTTGGGATTGACCTGGGCAGACTTAGGCGGACCTGGGCCGACCTGGACGGGGGTAGCCTGAATAAACCACGCATATGTAAACCAGAGCAGAACTGGATAAAACACCACTAACGAATAGTGCTGAGCCAACACCGTTTTGATATGTATCCTGCACCATTCAAAAACCAGTTTTAACACCCAGAAACCCTCCAAAATTCAAACCCAGGCCCCAGAATCCTGATTTATATTATATGCATTACAGGGGTTTATCAATATATATCACATATATATATATATATATACATATATATATATACATATATATATATATACATATATATATATATACATATATATATATTGGCACCATATGTTGAGCCATACCGCCATACCCGTTTCATCCAAACAGTCTCAAGACACAAGCCAGTCCTCTCTGGCAACTTCGCACCGATTCATTTCAGTGTTATCTTCCTTCGAAATCATATATGGGGATGGGACATGTCGCCCTGCACCCCTTCTAATCACATCATAGCTGGGATTCATAGATGTCCAACCCCCAATGGTGTGTAGCTGTGGATCCAGGGCCATATGGATATCCTGCAACTTTTCACCGTTTTTGAATCAGACTCAGGCACTGGTTCGATCCAAACTGTGTCGCTTGCCACGGTGAGGAGATACGCTACTGCTGAGATTGGTCATCGTGGAACTTCTCCTGGCGTCATGAAAATCTGTGGTTTTGTTGGGGAAATAGCTGGGAAACTCTACCATATTTGGGGTAATGCTTCACCAGAAAAGATGAGGCACCTGAACCGAAAAAAATAAGCTTCGGTGGTATCCCCAACAGCCGCAACGTTTCATGTTTACAAATCTTTCTGAAAGCCAGCGCTGGGAACCCTGTTGAACCTGACCTGGCCCTGCAACAAAGATTCCCAAAACCTTCTCCGGGACCTTCTCTGCAACCTTCTCTGGAACCCGTTGAGCCTGGCTTGGCTTTGCACCAAGGCTTCCTGGAACCTTCTCCGGAACCTTTTCCGGAACCCTGTTGAACCCTGGCTCTGCACCAAAGCCTTCCCGACCTTTTCCGGAACCTTCTCGGAACCCTGTTGAACCTGACCTGGCTCTGCACCAAAGCCTCCTAAACCTTGTCGGGGAACCTTCTCTGGAACCCTGTTGAACCTGACCTGAGCCTCCCGGAACCTTCTCCGGAACCTTCTCCGGAACCTTCTCCGGAACCTTCTCCGGAACCCTGTAGAACTCGCTCTGCACCAAAGCCTCATAGACCTTCTCCGGAACTTTCTTCGGAACCCTGTTGAACTTGACCTGGCTCTGCACCAAAGCCTCCCAGACCCAGACCTTCTCCGGAACCTTCCGGACCCTGTTGAACCTGACCTGGGTGTGCACCAAAGCCTTTCAGAACCTTCTCTGGAACCTTCTCCAGAACCCTGTTGAACCTGACCTGGCTCTGCACCAAAGCCTCCCAGACCTTCTCCGGAACCTTCGGAACCTTCTCCGGAACCTCTGCCTCAGTGGTAGTGATTCTCTTTTTGATTCTGAGGTGATGAGGTGTTCGTGGTTTGCTGTCGTCTTGCTGTCCTTGTCGACACTGTCCCTTTGCTGTTTCTTCTTCACTTGGCAATGGATAGAATCTACATGAATCTACAAGAAATTGCTGCTTAATACTCTACTCGAGGAACCGTGTTTTTTGATAGGATAGGATAATGACTGGATAATGATGGGCATCGCTCTTTCTGAGAATCTCTCCAAAGAGTGTTTGCTTGGCAAAGTGGTTTCTGATTCCAACCTATCTCTCAAACCTTCGTAGGCTCCGAATCATCCCAAATAGAAAGCAAAAGATCCGTACTCGAAAATGTTGAGACTCACCAGAAGAAACAGATCTTCAACTCCCATTGTGCCCCACACGTCGTCATTGCGCCTCCGTTGTTTCGCTGCTGACAGCGGGGTCAACTTTTCGGATGCCACTTTCATCTCTTGAGCCTGGAGCAAGCACCAAAACTTCCCGAAATTTGAGCCATTTGTTGGGATATCAATGGGAAGATATGGGGAGCCATTTCTTTGGTTTCCAATCTGAATACCAAAATGGAGGAGTTGATGAGTTAAGCATGAAACAAAAAGATGTGGACTGCACCAGCAAAAAGTGAGTTCGACTAGATTCAACCAACCAACATTGGTTGAAGGAACCAATATAGTCTGTAGCTCTCTTATGAAATCTTATGAATATACATCCCAATCGTTGATGGACAGGTATGGGTCAAACTTCTGGAAGCACTAAGCGGTACTAAGAATAACTTCAGCACCTCAGAAAATTCAGTCCATTTGAGGTCCACTGAAACCTGACTATTGAAGGTCTTGAGGAGTACAAATATCTCAACCAATATCTCAACCAATGATCCTACACAGGCTCTATCAGCCTAAAGGAGATGTGTTCCAGGATTGGAGCTGCGCCTGCGTATCTGTATTATACAGTAAATAGTATATATAATATACTATATGTATAGTATATATATAATATAATATATATATACTATATACTATATAAATATACATTGCTATTTTATGTACATATCTATATACATTGATACATGTTGATATATATATATATGTGATACATGTTGTATACTTTTTTGCTGCCTATCGTCATTGGAGCCACCGAATGGTTCTGGTCCAAGGGTCTGCAACACACATAGGGCAAAGGGTATAGATTCGTCCCTCAGACCAACATCTCCTGCACCTGCAGTCGATTGCACACTGGAAACCAATAGTTGCAACATATTTCGGATGTATAATTTCTATAATTGCTGAAACTGTATTTGCTGACACTCTGCAAGACTAATTGAAACATATTGAAACCAAAATTCATGGAGATTCATGGGTTCTACACTACCAGTATCAACCCTTCGACGTGATGCGACGTGATGCGACGTTACGTCGAGATGCGCGTAGAATTCCAACTCTTGTCCCTCGAGGAGGAGGTGCCTGGACCACATCCCCCCATCGCGACCCAAAGATTCATCAGATTCTTTGGAAATGTTATTCATCCAAAAATATCCAAAATCATCAGATATTATGATATTGCCAGATATCCAAAACATTCCAAGATACCAAGATAGAAAGATATAGAAAGTTAGAAACCCAAGATCTGCACAAAGTCTGGATCCACTCCCACCATGTTATGTCCTGGCTGTCCTGGTGCCGGCGCCTGCAACAGACGCTACAACTCACCTCGTCTGGGATGTCGCTATGCCGATTCCCAATCATGTCGATGGCAGGAAAGGCTTGTTGGATGGTGAACACCTGCGACGCCACCATACCCTGGGCCCTGGCGCTACAATCCGCTACAAGTCCTTGCAAGATTGAATGCAAAGTAACACACCACAAGGATTCAGCCAGCGAAAAATCTATTGACAGAACCAAGGCTCTTCCAATTCTGCTTCAGACGTTTCCCAACGAACCCTCGGGGACCCTCGGGGACCCTTCGGGGACCCTTCGGGGACCCTCGGGGACCCTTCGGGGACCCTCGGGGACCCTCGGGGAAGGATTCATGGCAGCGCAGCGCCTTGCCGAGTTCATCTGCAGGACACAAATGATCATCTTCCCACGCTGTCTTGGACTTTCGCAGCCCACCCTGTCAGATCAGGCAAGGCTTTTGACATCCTTACGGCCTTAGCCTGCTGAGGGCTGAACAGTTATGGCAGTTATGGCAGTTGTGGCAATTGCATCTGATTTTTGATTCAATTTGCATGTGAAATTTGATGGACTGCCACTGGATGCTCAAACCTTAAGCAAACCTGGACACCGAGATTCCCTGCCTTCGAAGGTGATGCACTGCGCTCCCTGGCGCGACATGAACACATGGCTTCTGACGTGGAGATCGGCTTCGTCGGAGATCATGAAATGATAGTGAATTGATTGTGAATTCGTAGTGACTTGATCACGGATGGCAGCCTCGCTGCATCAGCCGCTTTGCCAGGATCCTCAGCTGGCCAGCTAACGTATCGCTATAATTTGGTATATTGTTGAATGGAAAGTTGTATAACTGGTATACGGTATACCATTAGAATATAGTATATATATAGCATAGTATATTATATATACTTATATTATTATGTTATATTATAGTATTAACTAGGCAATGGGCCAATGGGCACTAGAAAAAATGATGACTAATCACTAATCGCTGCCAAGGATCCCCTGTAACCTTCGGCTTTGTCGCCCCGCAGCCCATGGCTCAAGCCATGCCAGGGCTTGGATTTTTTCTCAGAAATGTGGCTCTGGAACTTCTGGAACTGTCTCCACTCAAAGGGCTAAAAATGGCGAGAAAAACTTGGCAACGCTCCAAGGGGTGCTTGCAGAATGGCTTGGAAAATGTGATGAACCATGCGTCTTGGAGTCTATTGGCGGATCTCAAAACAGCTGAAGTCATGAACATATGCGGTAAACATGATTATGTGACCAAGCAAGAACCTAGAGAATAAAAGAACTATCTCGCTGCAAAATCAGGAGATCTGTGTTTGTCGCCATCTCAAAACACTGTGGATGATCAACTCCTCTGAGGACACCCGCAGAACTGGTCACCACGTCCTTCCCTTCGCCTTGGGCGCAGGGATCGTCGAAAAGTCATTGGCACTTTGATGACTTTGATGATGATTTTAGATGATGATTTTTGATGTTGATTTACCATGATGTACCGTTCTTTTGTGGGATTCACAATGATGTGACGTGCTTTCTGTATATGGTGGGGGTTATGATTGCGCGTGAGAGTTTGAGATCAGAGGCCCTGACTGCAATTCCAGGTCACAGGCTTGCCAAAAATCAATGTGAGTCTGTACATGATGTGATGGATTGGATTTCACTGAATTCCATTGGTGAATTTTGATTTGCTGCCAAAAATCGACCCAAGTCTGCCCAACATTCCTACAAATTGCTGGAAAGAACGACGCTACCGCTATCTCAAAGTTCAATAGGTGACACAACTCAAAGTTCAAAACTTAGGAATGGACTGTCAACCTTCAGGCTCTTCCATTCAGCCGACAGCCAACTCCTGGGTCTGACGGAACTCTCATGTTGTATCTGCCGCTGTTGCCTCTTAAATTCTGTGGTGCTGATTGATTCCATAATATTGACATCATACAGGACATTGAAGATCCCATGGTTTCATAAGCTGCCACCATTTTCGTCCATTTCTTTGACAGTCCTGATCTCCTGCGAGCCTATTAGACCTGGCAGAGGGCAACCAGGTTGCCAGGGTCAGCACTGGATGTCCCATGGCCCCAATTGATCAAAGTACTTGGACAATTCCTGGACGACTACTTCGACTTTTTCAAACAAAGTGTATTTCATCATGTTTTGCTGACTTTCAGGAACATTGATCTTTGCTTGCCTCTGCTGGGCAGTGATTTCTCCCGAAGGCAGTGTGCAACGATTCTTTATACGCTTCAGACCCCAATGGTTCAAACTGAACGGAGATTGATTTTACACCCCGTAGCTGCGTAGCCGCGAAGCCTAGGCTCCCCGACCTTCCAAGGGTTTTTCCTTGGCGGAGACCTGATGGGAGCTTCCGAAGTTGACAGCCCATGTACATGGCTTACTGTGCGTATGTTGTGCATGTAATGTGTATACATATGTATGTGTACATATGATATGGTTACATATGTGTGTATTATGTTTTTAGTTTTTTTTGTTTGTTTGTTCCTTCGTTTGTTTCATTGATTATCTATGTATCTATCTATTCCTAGTACTACAAATATTACTATTGTCATCATTGTCATTGCTATTATTTCTCATTGCTATTTTCATTATAATGATCATTGTTACATGCAAGTGAATGTCTGGTGTGTATAGTGTGTATGTATCTAAACTCTGTGTATATATATATATATACATAAGATTGTGTACATGCTATGTGCATATGCATATTATGCATATGTGCAGTATAGATATAACCCAAGATCGGTTGTGGTTCACGTGACCTCAAATGCGTATATCGTTTTTGCGTAATCCCTTCCGCGTCAAGGCCAAGTGAGCAGCGTGACGAGTGTGAAAATGATTGGTCATGCCCAAGTGTTGTGGGAACCAAAAACATGTAATCCTAATTCAAAAAACAAAAAACAAAAGGTCAACACATGTCAACACCTAATTCATACATCCTGATTCAGCCAACGACATTTCGGTAGTCGGATGCCACCTGAGCAGCGATGTAGCGATAGATCCTCAGTGCAGTGTGTTGTCTAAGAATTGAGGTGTCTGCGGCCAAGTTGTCACCTTCCTCCGAAATCAAGCATTGGCAATTGAATGCTTTGAATAGGCATCGTTCAGTCCGGAAAAAAACAGCCGAATGGGTACAACCATCCGAAGACCCGTCCATTCGAATGCCCCAGCTTAGCCGAGGCTGAGGATCGCACGGCAAGACCAAGGGATGCTCTGCTGGAGGGACCTAAAGCGGTCAAAATGAATGGTTAACATTGGTTTACCCTTTCAGTCCCCTTTCAGACTGAAACGACAAACTGTTTTTCATCAAGATTTTGCCATGGAGACTTTACACTAACCAGTTCTCGCGACAAATCTGTTGCAAATGATGATCTACCTTGAGTTTTGCACCAGCACTGCCAGGTCCACCATACTAAATGCAAACAACGCTCATATCATCAAACACATAACCAGACATTATGGCATTGGAGGGCCAAACGTTGTGACTCGCAGACAAAATTTTTGAGAGCGCTGCATAAGTGGTGCCTGAACTGCTACCGATCAACAGCTCCTCCAAGTTCTGAAGTCGCTGCCTCGCATGTCGCGAAGATCACATCAGCATGACAATTGATCTTTGGGTGAACAGAGTGAACAATCCTACAAGTGGAAAAATGGAGGGGATGGAATTCAACATGATAGATCCCTTTGTTTTGTTTAGGTGGCAAAATCCGCCTGCCTTCGTGCAGCTTGGCTCTTGTTTTCAGGCTGATCCTCTGCCGGGACAGTGGGCCCTCCAGTGGTAACTCCCTTCACCCCATGTCGATAACTGGCAGATACCACTAGGTGGTACTACAGGGAATGATTGGTTGTGTTGTTTTTGCTACTAATTTTCCGGCCCGAGCCAATCACTGCAGGAACCAGTTCCTCCTTCTTTGGCTCAGGGATCTGCCCACCGCCGTTCAGGCAACCTGCGGCATCATCTCCAACTCTTCACGTCTGGAATCCAGAAATCCAAGGACCTGCTGTCAACCTTTCACTTTCTTAGCTTGTCACACAGGGTCACTCCTTTTTTCCCGTCCAACGGTTATGCAGAGTTTTTCGGTCGTGTGACTGTGTGACCTGAATTCATCTGAATTCGGGTTTCCCCGGTCAGTTCACCAGTTTGGTGCCTACTGAGGCAAGGTCACCATGCAAAAACCTGGTGCTATCTATATCTTTGACAAAATGTCGCAGCCGCAGGGCTTAAGGTCCAAACACCCCTATAAATCCTTCGGTGGACTCCGAAGCTGTAGGAGACACTTGCGAACAAAGGTGGACGTGCAACGCCGTGTCCCCCACGTTGGGCTGTCTTGGGCCCAAGTTGGGCGACAGATGCCCCCACATAGAAGCAAACTGCACATGTTAAACCCAACTTGCGTCCAGACGTGCTTAAGTCGCGCCATGTTGGACCCCAGTTGGGCTCAAGTCGGAGCCAAGTGGCCCGAGTTCGGCGAGTTAGGCCCAAGTTGGGCCCTACTTGGCTCGTTCAGCCAAACTTAGGCCGAGGACGGCCAAGTTTGACCCCAGTCGGCTGCCACGAGCCCGCTTCTTTCCTCTTTGTCCTATTCACTGGGTGGCAGTACTGGCCGCAAAGCGACTCGAATATCCATAAGCCTTAGGCAAACTGGCGGTTCCTGGATTCTGCTACCAGCCAGCCTCCAGGGCATGCCATGATCTCCACGAAATGGCCCGTGTCCTTCAGGTTTCCATCTGCCTGCAGCCAGCTGTGCCATGTCGATCTTGACTGAACCTCGACTGAACCTCTGCATATTTTGGTGCAAATGGGCAGCTTCCTGGCATACTCTCACCCAATGTCTTCAGTTTGCATGAATGTTTCCCAAAAACGTTGGAAAAGCCAGAGATTGCCAAAATGGATCAATACTTTGCCTTTTCAGAAACCCGGTGACAAATGCAGATCCAACAGCGCTACATACAGTGCCTTTGCCACACGGCGGATCACCTCAGGGGAAATGTCCCAGTGGGGATCTCATAAATTATCATGATATCTCAACAGAAAGTCACAGAAAACTTGAGGGCAAGGGGTAAGGGACGAAAGCTAGCTTGGCAGGGTGATGGGCATGAAACACAGAAGGTAGCGCAGCGGCGGTTTCTTTTCGGCGATGTGGAGGGTCATGTTCAAAGAGAAGCAGAGCAATGCAGGCTTCGGCAACTCTCACACACACACATACTGAATGATATAGTTGCTCATGTTACTGGTATCCCCAGGCGGGGATTGAACCCGCGACCACACTGCTTGCGAACCAGCCCGGGAGGGGGGACGGGGGAGCGTAGTTAAGTGAGAAGTCATGTAAGAGGACAAGGATGAGAACATATGATTGTTGTCTACTGTTTCACGAAGCAAATGAAGACATTCAGCATAGACAAGATCATGACAACTGAGTCGGGAAAATTCAAAGGTCCACCTTCGGCACCGGAGTGGACTTTTGGAAGCGCGGGAAGACGGCACGCAGTGCGAGGCGACAGTTTACGACGACAGGTAAATGTGCGCACTCAACATGAAAATGGAGCAAGGCCACGGTTCCATACAGCGTCAAGTGTGAAAAGGGCAAAGTTGTGAGGGTCTAAAGTCAAGTGTACAGTGGAAAGTGTGAAAGCGTAAACCTGAAAGTGTGAGTGCCACGTGTAAAAGTAGAGTGTGGAGTGCCAAGTGTAGAGTGTGAAGTGTAAAGTGTAGAGTGTGGAGTGTAAAATTTAGAGTGTAAACTGTGGCATGTAAAGTACGTTAGGAGTTAAGTGTAAACTGTCGAGTGTGGAGTGTGGCGTGTGTAAAGTGTGGCGTGTAAATTTAGAGTGTGAAGTGTGGAGTGTAAAGTGCGTTAACAGGTAAGTGTAACATGTCGAGTGTGGAGTGTAACGTGTAAGATGCGGTTTGTAAAGTTTAGCGTGTAAAAAGTGGACTCCAGAGCGTGAAGTGTAGAGGGTGGATACCAGTGATCGTGCCAATGCTGTTACTGACCGTGTCCCGGGAGGGGTTGAGCCCACGACCAAACTGGCGGGGGGGGTAGTTAACTGAGAAGTTTCTCGCCATCCCCCCAATACCTTGCTAAAGCAAGAGGGACTTCTGCTAGCAGAAGCTAGCTTTCGTGATGACATCAAATGACATACATCAATTCTATGAGATTCTTGGACCCTCACGTTTTGGATATTCCGGAAGCCATAGGCCGCCGTAAATCGCAACCTCATGTATGGCAGTCAGTCCTACAGCTGGAAGCTTGGAGTTCACTCTATCAAGTCATGTATAATTAATCCATGTGATCTTAAGAAAATATATATATATTATTAATATTATGGATATACTGGGTATACTGATATAACCATATATAACGGATAATTATCCATGGATGTGTGGAATAATGATCAATTGTGGATCAGAGATGTGATAACTCATATTATTGGTACTATGCATTGTCCAACACGCATCGCATGAAGTCATAATTTTGCGGAATCATAATCATAATGCTGTTTGTTCTTGCTTCAGGCTAGCTACAGATGTGAGTGCTATTCCATCTTGGGCTGGCGATTTTACCTGAGGCTGACAGGCGCATTTTAGGTTTCAGAAAATGGGGGACCACAAAATGATCCCAAATTGATGACGTTTAGTGCCGAAAACAATGGTTTTAGCTTTAGTTTAGGGTATCCTAATTTTCGAGAAACGCCCTTTGCGGATGTGACTGTCAAGACAGCAACAGCCCTGGAAGCATGTCCCCATTTGGCTTCGGACAGCACTTTTTCGCTGGAATCCTTTAATGTGACCTGCAAACCGTTGATCAGCACTTTCCCCAATATATCATGGCCATCAATTGGTGTCTTCTGGTCTTCCCCGTTTTTGGACAAACCCACTTGTGACCCTCTTCCCTAAAGTACCATCAGCTCAAGTGACAGAAATTCTAGATGGCCAACCTGCAAACCACCCACTACCGGCCTCGCGCATGTCCTCGTTCTGCTTTGTCTGCAAAGTCAGTGGAGAGGATGGCACGTCAATAGAAAACCTTGGCAGCGGCGACAAATCGATCGAATCGATATGATGGGGTGGTTTTGCATCTATCCATGACATTTTGACCTAAATACCTTTCACACTAGCTGGATGTTCATCCCCCTATGGCCCTTATTTGGTCCGATAGGTGACATCTATCAACCAATCCCCAATGTGTGAAGTTTTTACGTGTCAAACATCAACATTGAAGCCATCAAATAACATCAAATAAGCAATGTGTAACCCAAATCAACTGCAGAAACTCCATGGCAAACAGCACGAACTAGGCCCACATCGCCATCCCAAATACCATCAAGGCATGTCAAACCACCATAAACCACCCATGAAATATCATGAGATCCATGAAATTCTACGGCTCAGGTTTCCCGGCAACTCCCTGGCAGCTTCCTTGAAGATATGCTCCAGAAAACCACCAGACCCGGCGTTCCCGCGCACGCTGCAGCTCAGAGCGCGGGTGGCCTGATGACTTAGCAAAACTGGAAAAGTCACCTTTTGGTAAAATGAACAAGATCAAATTACATTCAAACTATATTCAAACGATATTCCATATTAGACCGGCTCTCTCTTGTCGGGTATCACAAACCTTCTAGCGTTCATTCTTTCTCCACTCTGACCGTGAGAGTGCAGCTGACAGGAAGAAATTTCTGTAAACAAGAATAGTCTCACGCGGAAAGGTCCTACATGTCAAGAAAGAGTTCAATACTGCAAGGAGAGCTTCCCATGATCGAAGACGGTTGTTGCAGTTGCCCATTTGTTTCCATATTGTTTCAACATTGGAGATGCCATCCCTAACCCTTTTTGGATAGTACAGAAACTAGGTGCCTTCGGTACCACAATCACACACCAACCCCACCTGCAAGCCAAGGAAAAGGTCGGTATAAACCTGGCAAATTGAAGCACAACAGCACATAATAAATCATAGTAGATCATAGTAGATCATAGTAGATCATAGTAGATCATAGTAGATCATAGTAGACCATAGTAGATCATAGTAGATCATTGTGGATCATAGTAGATCATAGTAGATCATTGTGGATCATAGTAGCTCATAGTAGATCATAGTAGATCATAGTAGATCATAGTAGATCATAGTAGATCATAGTAGATCATAGTAGGTCATAGTAGGTCATAGTAGATCATAGTAGATCATAGTAGATCATAGTAGATCATAGTAGATCATAGTAGATCATAGTAGATCATAGTAGATCATAGTAGACCATAGCAGATCATAGTAGATCACAGTAGCTCATAGTAGATCAAAGTAGATCATAGTAGATCATAGTAGCTCATAGTAGATCATAGTAGATCATAGTAGATCATAGTAGATCATAGTAGATCATAGTAGATCATAGTAGATCCTAGTAGATCACAGTAGCTCATAGCAGATCATAGTAGATCATAGTAGATCATAGTAGATCATAGTAGGTCATAGTAGATCATAGTAGATCATAGTAGATCATAGTAGATCATAGTAGATCATAGTAGATCATAGTAGGTCATAGTAGATCATAGTAGATCATAGTAGATCATAGTAGATCATAGTAGATCATAGTAGATCATAGTAGGTCATAGCAGACCATAGCAGATCATAGTAGATCACAGTAGCTCATAGTAGATCATAGTAGATCATAGTAGATCATAGTAGATCATAGTAGATCATAGTAGATCATAGTAGATCATAGTAGATCATAGTAGATCATAGTAGATCATAGTAGATCATAGTAGATCATCAGTAGATCACAGTAGATCATAGTAGATCATAGTAGATCATAGTAGATCATAGTAGATCATAGTAGGTCATAGTAGGTCATAGTAGATCGTAGTAGATCATAGTAGATCATAGTAGATCATAGTAGATCATAGTAGATCATAGTAGGTCATAGTAGGTCATAGTAGATCATAGTAGATCATAGTAGATCATAGTAGATCATAGTAGATCATAGTAGATCATAGCAGATCATAGTAGATCATAGTAGATCATAGCAGATCATAGTAGATCATAGTAGGTCATAGTAGATCATTGTAGATCATAGTAGATCATAGTAGATCATAGCAGATCATAGTAGATCATAGTAGGTCATAGTAGATCATTGTAGATCATAGTAGATCATAGTAGATCATAGCAGATCATAGTAGATCATAGTAGGTCATAGTAGATCATTGTAGATCATAGTAGATCATAGTAGATCATAGTAGATCATAGTAGGTCATAGTAGATCCTAGTAGATCAAAGTAGATCCTATATAGTAGATCATAGAAGATCATAGTAGATCATAGTAGGTCATAGCAGATCATAGTAGATCATAGTAGATCATAGTAGATCATAGTAGATCATAGTAGATCATAGTAGGTCATAGTAGATCAAAGTAGATCATAGTAGATCATAGTAGATCATAGTAGCTCATAGTAGATCAAAGTAGATCACAGTAGATCATAGTAGGTCATAGTAGATCATAGTAGATCATAGTAGATCATAGTAGATCATAGTAGATCATAGTAGATCATAGTAGGTCATAGTAGGTCATAGTAGATCATAGTAGATCATAGTAGATCATAGTAGATCATAGTAGATCATAGTAGATCATAGTAGATCCTAGTAGATCAAAGCAGATCATAGTAGATCATAGTAGATCATAGTAGATCATAGTAGATCATAGTAGATCATAGTAAATCATAGTAGATCATAGTAGATCATAGTAGATCAGAGTAGATCATAGTAGATCATAGTAGATCATAGTAGGTCATAGTAGATCATAGTAGATCATAGTAGATCAAAGTAGATCATAGTAGATCATAGTAGATCATAGTAGATCATAGTAGATCATAGTAGATCCTAGTAGATCCTAGTAGATCATAGTAGATCATAGTAGATCATAGTAGATCATAGTAGATCAAAGTAGATCTATATAGTAGATCATAGTAGGTCATAGTAGGTCATAGTAGGTCATAGTAGATCATAGTAGATCATAGTAGATCATAGTAGATCCTAGTAGTCATAGTAGATCATAGTAGATCATAGTAGATCATAGTAGATCATAGTAGATCATAGTAGATCTAGTAGATCAAAGTAGATCATAGTAGATCATAGTAGATCATAGTAGATCATAGTAGATCATAGTAGATCATAGTAGATCCTTTTCAGTAGATCATAGTAGATCATAGTAGATCAAAGTAGATCATAGTAGATCATAGTAGATCATAGTAGATCACAGTAGATCATAGTAGATCATAGTAGATCATAGTAGATCATAGTAGATCATAGTAGATCATAGTAGATCATAGTAGATCATAGTAGATCATAGTAGATCATAGTAGATCATAGTAGATCATAGTAGATCATAGTAGATCATAGTAGATCAAAGTAGATCCTAGTAGATCCTAGTAGATCATAGTAGATCATAGTAGATCATAGTAGATCCTAGTAGATCAAAGTAGATCAAAGTAGATCATAGTAGATCATAGTAGATCCTATATAGTAGATCATAGTAGATCCTAGTAGATCAAAGTAGATCCTATATTGTAGATTATAGTAGATCATAGTAGATCATAGTAGATCCTAGTAGATCATAGTAGATCATAGTAGATCCTAGTAGATCAAAGTAGATCATAGTAGATCATAGTAGATCATAGTAGATCATAGTAGATCATAGTAGGTCATAGTAGATCATAGTGGATCATAGTAGATCATATTAGATCATGGTAGATCATAGTAGATCATAGTAGATCATAGGAGATCAAAGTAGATCCTATATAGTAGATCATAGTAGATCATAGTAGATCCTAGTAGATCAAAGTAGATCATAGTAGATCATAGCAGGTCATAGTAGATCATAGTAGATCATAGTAGATCATAGTGGATCATAGTAGATCATAGTAGATCACTGTAGATCCTAGTAGATCCTAGTAGATCAAAGTAGGTCATAGTAGATCATAGTAGATCCTATGTAGTAGATCATAGTAGATCAAAGTAGATCATAGTAGATAATAGTAGATCATAGTAGACCATAGTGGATCATAGTAGATCCTATATAGTAGATCATAGTAGATCATAGTAGATCATAGTAGATCCTAGTAGGTCATAGTAGATCATAGTAGGTCACAGTAGATCCTATATAGTAGAGACTATATAGTAGATCATAGTAGATCATAGTAGATCAAAGTAGATCATAGTAGGTCATAATAGATCATAGTAGATCATAGTAGATCATAGTAGATCAAAGTAGATCCTATATAGTAGATCATAGTAGATCATAGTAGATCAAAGTAGATCCTATATAGTAGATCATAGTAGATCATAGTAGATCCTATATAGTAGATCATAGTAGATCATAGTAGATCAAAGTAGATCATAGTAGATCATAGTAGATCATAGTAGATCATAGTAGATCATAGTAGATCCTTGTAGATCAAAGTAGATCATAGTAGATCATAGTAGATCATAGTAGATCATAGTAGATCATAGTAGATCATAGTAGATCATGGTAGATCATAGTAGATCATAGTAGATCATAGTAGATCATAGTAGATCATAGTAGATCATAGCAGATCATAGCAGATCCTAGTAGATCCTAGTAGATCAAAGTAGATCAAAGTAGATCATAGTAGATCATAGCAGATCATAGTAGATCATGGTAGATCATAGTGGATCATAGTAGATCATAGTAGATCCTAGTAGATCAAAGTAGATCATAGTAGGTCATAGTAGATCATAGTAGATCCTAGTAGGTCAAAGTAGATCCTATATAGTAGATCATAGTAGATCATAGTAGATCATAGTAGATCATAGTAGATCCTAGTAGATCATAGTAGATCATAGTAGATCATAGTAGATCATAGTAGATCCTAGTAGATCAAAGTAGATCCTATATAGTAGATCATAGTAGATCATAGTAGGTCATAGTAGGTCATAGTAGATCATAGTAGATCATAGTAGATCATAGTAGATCCTTTTCAGTAGATCATAGTAGATCATAGTAGATCATAGTAGATCATAGTAGATCATAGTAGATCCTAGTAGATCATAGTAGATCCTAGTAGATCAAAGTAGATCATAGTAGATCATAGTAGATCATAGTAGATCATAGTAGATCATAGTAGATCATAGTAGATCATAGTAGATCATAGTAGATCATATTAGATCATGGTAGATCATAGTAGATCATAGTAGATCATAGGAGATCAAAGTAGATCCTATATAGTAGATCATAGTAGATCATAGTAGATCATAGTAGATCATAGTAGATCATAGTAGATCATAGTAGATCATAGTAGATCAAAGTAGATCAAAGTAGATCCTAGTAGATCCTAGTAGATCCTAGTAGATCCTAGTAGATCATAGTAGATCATAGTAGATCATAGTAGATCATAGTAGATGATAGTAGATCATAGTAGATCATAGTAGATCATAGTAGATCATAGTAGGTCATAGTAGATCATAGTCGATCATAGCAGATCATAGTCGATCATAGTAGATCATAGTAGATCATAGTAGACCATAGTAGATCATAGTAGATCCTTGTAGATCAAAGTAGATCATAGTAGGTCCTAGTAGACCATAGTAGATCATAGTAGATCATAGTGGGTCCTAGTAGATCATAGTAGATCATGGTAGATCATAGTAGACCATAGTAGATCATAGTAGATCATAGTAGATCATAGTAGATCCTAGTAGATCATAGTAGATCATAGTAGATCATAGTAGATCATAGTAGACCATAGTAGATCATAGTAGATCATAGTAGATCCTAGTAGATCATAGTAGATCATAGTAGATCATAGTAGATCATAGTAGATCCTAGTAGATCATAGTAGATCCTAGTAGATCATAGTAGATCATAGTAGATCATAGTAGATCATAGTAGATCATAGTAGACCATAGTAGATCATAGTAGATCATAGTAGATCCTAGTAGATCATAGTAGATCATAGTAGATCATAGTAGATCATAGTAGATCCTAGTGGATCATAGTAGATCCTAGTAGATCATAGTAGATCCTAGTAGATCATAGTAGATCATAGTAGATCATAGTAGATAAAGATTTCAAATGTACTGATGACTTTTCCGAATCGCGGTGCCAGCCTCACTTTGCAAGGGCACGGGCCGCAGCTTCTGAGGTTCCGTCTTCTGCGGCCCAAGCCCGTGAGGTCCATGAAAATCATGAAATCCGTTGACCCGTTGACCCACCCGTCCTTTGTACGGCTAGTTACAGGGCTCTTGGGGATCACGCTTCGCAGAAAAAATGGGAAGCGTGTTTCTGAAAAATGCTGAAGGGCTGTGGCACTTCCATGGTTTTCTTTCAATGTATATATTCACTGTTTGTCTGCGCTATCAGCCGCTATCATCTTTCCACTACCCTTCAGTAGTCCATTCTAGGGCTCTATCCCTCTCAGTCCCTTGGTATTGTTATCATTTCCTCACGAGAGGGAGAAACTCCTTTTCCATCTCCACGCGTCCCAAGCTAAAGACATCAAACACGTCTCCCATCTGCGCTGGGTCAGGGGGGCCACGGGTCACGCCAGCGCCCGCTCCTCACAGGCGCTTTTGCCACAGCCGCCGCAGCAGCCTTCGCCCGCTTCCCGCAGCAAATCTAACAGCTCCGTGGCCGTGAGCACCGTGTCCACCTCCAGTCGCCAGAGTCCACGACAGTCCGACAGGGTCCGACATGGACATCTGAATATCGATATCTCAAGGTCAGAATGAAACTGCCCCGGATCTGAAAAAGATGTGCCAATGCCTGAGGTGCTCCAGTGATTTCTCTTTCGCAGCTTTTCCCAATGCCATTTCCACACCGCCCTTGGTGCCTCTTTGACTCCCGGCATATTCGGACTGGGATGAGGCGAGGAACGGAGTGGGCAGTTGGGGCTGACAAAATGCAGTTGAGAGGATCAGAAAGCCATGCCATTGGCCGTGTGGAAAATGTTGAAATTGGAGGTGCTAATCTATTTCATTCAGTCTTTATCGGCTTCGAAAACCAACAGATGTTGGAATTGGTTTTGATGCCATAGTTTCTCCAATCAGGTCAGTTCTAGATCAAACCTCCCCGTACCGATCAACAAACATCATCACCAGACCCAGCTGGGTTGCCCCAGCACTTCGAAGATGGGTCGAGCAGCTTCGATCTTCCGGTCGTAGCACGGTTGCACCTAGGCGGATCCAAAAGTGCATCAGCCCACCAAAACCATGGTTATATATAGCTGGCAAAGTCATCCATCAATGGGTGATGTTTGCTTCCAAAACTTCAAAACTGTGCCAATTGGTCAACTGGATTTCAATTCGTTGAGTTGGTTTTGCAAGAAACCATATGATTTTCACATGCTTTCGACAACGACAGGGCGGTGACTCGGTGACCATCAAAAAAAGTCCCAAGATTCTGTTTAATACTGTTTACCAGTTACTAATAGTTACTAATAGTTACTAATAGTTTCTATATATAATCATCATTTTTAATCATCTGACTGCTTCCCTCAAAGTACACTGATTTAAAAAAAAAAACACACCTTCGACGACCAGGTTCCCGGGCGAAGACATGGTAGACCTGATCCGGTGTCACTGGCTCCGGCGCCGACGCCGGAGATTTTGCCCGAAATGGGGCCTGGCCGATTCGGCAGACCACTTGGATCGTGGGAATCGCTGTCACGCTGCGAATTAGATGTGTTTATCCATTGCTCCTAAAAAGGATCGCAGCGTCCACACGAAGAAGCACACTTTATTCCTTTTTTCATCGCAAACATTTAGCGCTTTCTTGTGCTGGGGTGTCTTGTTTGGTAAAAACGTGCTTCGCTGTGGCCCGCGTTTGTTCCCACCACACTCATACTTGTCCTGATGCCCAAGGGCACAAAATGATGGTTTTCGATCTTTTTGGGGATCTCTATCTGGCACAGCTATGATCACACGCAGCATGTGTAGAACAAGTGAGGCCTCAAGTGGTTGGCCACAAGGACAGTTGAAGTACACAGTAGCTGTAGCTGACTTGTCGACTAGCCATGCCAAATACTGGTTTAACATGGATTAACCAACCTGAAGCTGGTGCTCAAGTGTTGAAGGGGTTGCCATCAAGTCCAAAGTCGGACCAAAAAAATCCTTCGAAAGACCGTAGAATCAGTAGAGGTTTATCCATATCGAGAAATTGATGTCCAAACTTCCATGACCAAGTTTCAGATCACCCTCCCATTTGCCTGCCAAACCTGGCTCTCACCGGCGAAAAGTGGGTTGTGCGCCTGCAGCGCAGTATGAAACCCCTTGGTTCAGAGGATTGATTTGAGCCACTCAGGGCAAAAGGCTTTAGCTACCACTAGGAGACCGGCCGTGACAGTACCGGCGGTCATTAGCGAAACTGGACTCTATGGCATCGACCCTTGAAAAATACTCACCCATTGCTTCATCAGCATTTTTCCCCAACAGCGTAAGCTAATGGGATCATCAACCCCCCGGTGTGCACTGGTGCAAAAGCAGGTCAGGTTCAACGAGGTTCCGGAGAAGGTTCCAACGGTTCCGGAGAAGCTCTGGGAGGCTTTGGTGCAGGTCAGGTTCAACAGGCAGGGTTCCAGAGAAGGTTCCGGAGAAGGTCTGGGATGCTTTGGAGCAAAGCCATGTCAAGTTCAACAAAGTTCGAGAGAAGGTTCCGGAGAACGTTCCGGAGAAGGTTCTGGGAGGCTTTGGTGCAGAGCCGGGTCAAGTTCAACAGGGTTCCAGAGAAAGTTCCGGAGAAGGTTCCGGGAGGCTTTGATGCAGAGCCAGTTCCAAAGAAGGTTCCGGAGAAGGTCTGGGAAGCTTTGGCGCAGAGCCAAGTCAGGTTCAACAGGTCTGGGAGGCTTTGGTGCAGCCAGGAGAAGGTCTGGGAGGCATTGGAGCAGAGCCATGTCAGGTTCCACAGGGTTCCGGAGAAGGTTCCGGAGAAGGCCTGGGAGGCTTTGATGCAGAGCGAGGTCAAGTTCAACAGGGTTCCGGAGAAGGTTCCGGAGAAGGTCTGTGAGGCTTTGGTGCAGAGCCCGGTCAGGTTCAACAGGGTTCGGAAGAAGGTTCCGGAAGCCTTGGTGCAAAGCCAAGTCAGGCTCCACGGGTTCCGGAGAAGGTGCGGAGAAGGTCCCGGAGAAGGTTTTGGGAATCTTTGGTGCAGGGCCAGGTCAGGTTCAACAGGTTCAGCAAAGGGTTTCCAGCGCTTGGCTTCGCAGCACGCTTGAAGAAGATTTGTAAAAATAAAACGTTGCGGCTGTTGGGGATACCACCGAAGCTTATTTTTCCTCTATTGATACTGATCCTGGAACCTCACACCCCAACACAGGTGCGCATGAGTTGGTTTCCCAATATCACAAACAATTCTTTTAGATTAGTTCGCATAATGCTGAAACTGAGGAGACCAAGACCATGTGTACCCTTTGGTTCTCCCGATGTTGTGAGGGCATGATCATCCATGTGTGTCATACTATTGGTAAAAAAACAAAAAGCTTCGGTGGTATCCCCAACAGCCGCAACGTTTTATGTTTACAAATCTTTCTGAAGCCTGCTGCACAGCCAAGCGCTGGAACCTTCTCCGGAACCCTGTTGAACTTGACCTGGCTGCACCAAAGCCTCCTCGACCTTCTCCAGAACCTTCTCCGGAACCTGACCTGGCTTTGCACCAAAGCCTCCCGGACCCTTCTCTGCAACCTTCTCTGGAACCTTCTCTGGAACCTTCTCTGGAACCTTCTCCGGAACCCTGTTAAACCTGACCTGGCTGCACCAAAGCCTCCTCGACCTTCTCCGGAACCTTCTCCGGAACCTGACCTGGCTTTGCACCACAGCCTCCCGGACCCTTCTCCGCAACCTTCTCCGGAACCTTCTCCGGAACCTTCTCCGGAACCTTCTCTGGAACCTTCTCCGAACCCTGTTGAACTTGACCGGCTCTGCACCAAAGCCTCCCAGACCTTCTCCGGAACCTTCTTCGGAACTCTGTTGAACTTGACCTGGCTCTACCCAGACCTTCTCGGAACCCCCTCCAGGACCCTGTTGAACAAGCCTCCCAGACCTTCTCCGGAACCTTCTTCGGAACCCTGTTGAACCTGACCTGGAGCCTTTTGGAAACACTTTTCTGGCATTTGAAGGCCCCAGAGGGCCTGGGCCGGCAATTAAAGTTCCCTTCTGGGACCCTCGGGAACTCCGGAAACTTCTCCTGAACCTTGTTGAACTTGACTTGGCTTTGCACCAAGGCTTCCTGGAACCTTCTCCGGAACCTTCTCCGGAACCCTGTTGAACTTGACTTGGCTTTGCACCAAGGCTTCCTGGAACCTTCTCCGGAACCTTCTCCGGAACCAAGGCTTCCTGGAATCTTCTCCGGAACCTTCTCCGAAACCCTGTTGAACCTGACCTGGCTCTGCACCAAAGCCTCCCAAACCTTCTTCGAAACCTTCTCCGGAACCCTGTTGAACCTGACCGGGCTCTGCACCAAAGCTTTGCAGACCTTCTTCGGAACCTTCGGAACCTTCTCCAGAACCTCGTTGAACCTGACCCGGGGCCTGCACCAGTGCACACCGGAGCTGTTCTGGGCTCAAGACCCCATTAGCTTACGCTGTTGGGGTATAATTGATCATAATTGTAGAGTGTGTGCGTCTGTTTGTGCGTTTAAATCTACATGTATTTCTGCTACATGCATATATGTGTTCTGCATGTACCGATGTGCTGGCTACAGTGCTACATCATTTCCACCCGTTGCCGTTGCCAAAAGCAGCACTAACCCAACGGCCAACGGGTTCCCAGACCCGCCACCATCTCTGGAGCTGTCGACGATTGTGCGCTTCCAAGAGACAGGTCTTCACCAAACGACCTTGCCTCAGCGACTCAGTGACGTGGCAAATTGGTGCACCGAAATCTCACAGGCTATCAAACGGGTCCTGAAAATCATGAAACCGATAGCTGACTCATGGTAACCACAACAACATCATCATCACCATCACCATCATCATCATCATCATCATCATCGTCATCATCATCCTCCTCATCCTCATCATCATCACCGTCGTCATCGCCATCATCATCATCAACAACAACATTATCATCACCATCATCACATTCTCATCATCGCCGTCGTCATCGCCATCATCATCCATCATCATCATCATCATCACCGTCATCATCTTCATCCTCATCATTATCATCATCATCCTCATTCTCATCATCATCATCACCACCATTGTCATCATCATCATCATCGTCATCATCACCATCACCATCATCCTCATTACAACCATCATCCTCATCACCGCCATTATCATCATCATCATCGTCATCATCATCACCATCATCCTCATCACCACCATTATCATCATCATCATCACCATCATCCTCATCACCACCATTATCATCATCATCATCATCATCCTCATCACCACCATTATCATCATCATCATCATCACCACCATCCTCATCACCACCATTATCATCATCATCATCACCACCATTATCATTATCATCATCATCATCATCACCATCATCCTCATCACCACCATGATTTTCATTAGCATCATCATCATCATCACCACCATCCTCATCACCACCATTATCATCATCATCACCACCACCATTATCATTATCATCATCATCATCACCATCATCATCATCAACATCATCATCATCACCATCATCCTCATCACCACCATGATTTTCATCATCATCATCATCATCAACATCATCATCATCACCATCATCCTCATCACCACCATGATTTTCATTATCATCATCATCATCACCACCATCCTCATCACCACCATTATCATCATCATCATCACCACCATTATCATTATCATCATCATCATCATCATCACCATCATCCTCATCATCATCACCATCCTCATCACCACCATTATCATCATCATCACCACCATTATCATTATCATCATCATCATTATCATCATCATCATCCTCACCATCATCCTCATCACCACCATGATTTTCATCATCATCATCATCACCATCATCCTCATCACCACCATGATTTTCATCATCATCATCAACATCATCATCATCACCATCATCCTCATCACCACCATGATTTTCATCATCATCAACATCATCATCATCACCATCATCCTCATCACCACCATGATTTTCATCATCATCATCAACATCATCATCATCACCATCATGCTCATCACCACCATCATCATCATCAACATCATCATCATCGTCGTCATCGTCATCGTCGTCATCGTCATCGTCATTGGTTATGCTGGTTATACCATGTTATACCCCTTGGCTTCACATCACTCGGGGGTTTCCAACATGGGGCCACCGGACACTTGCTGCGGCGGTCGGATCGCACAGAGCTGTGGCAGCACCACCGGATCGACGACCTGTGGAATCTCATGGCCCAGCTGGTTTCGTGATCCCAGCTGTTCATGATAATGATACAAAATTGCTACAATATGATCATTTGATAGCAATCAAGAATAGACAATAACAACAATGATAATATATAGTCTTATTCAGAATATTCTTATCACTATGTATGTGTATATATATATATATGTGTGTGTGTAAAATAGTAATTACACCAGCATAGACCCCAAACAGAAACAACCCATGTTCCACCAAGGTCATGTGCAATTCAAAATTCATGGAACTGTCTGGCACACTCCTGTTGAGAAAAGAAAGAAGAGAGAAGAAGGGAGACAAGCACCGAAACCCCAGCCCGAAGCAGGAGGAACCAGGAAATCCATGAAGGAACAGAACCCCTTTCCTGAGAAAACAAAGACGAGAGAAGAAGGGAGACAAGCACCGGAACCCCAGCCGGAAGCAGGAAGAACCAGGAAATCCATGATGGAACAGAACCCTTTTCCTGAGAAAAGAAAGAAGAAAGAAGAAGGGAGACAAGCACCGGAACCAAACAAGAGAGAAGAAGGGAGACACCCATCTGAACCCCAGCCGGAACCAGGAGGAACCAGCAAATCATGATGGAACAGAACCCTTTTCCTGAGAAAAGAAAGAAAAAAGAAGAAGGAAGAAGGGAGACAAGCACCGGAACCCCAGCCGGAACCAAGAGGAACCAGCAAATCATGATGGAACAGAAGCCCTTTCCTGAGGAAGGAAAGAAGAGAGAAGAAGGGAGACAAGCACCGGAACCCCAGCCGGAACCAGGAGGAGCCAGCAAATCGTGAGGGAACAAAGGCCGTTTCTAGCAAGAACTGAGAACCCCATTCAGCTCAAGAGCTGTTTGGGGAATAAATCCTCAAAAAAAACGTGCAAAGCCTTTCAATCACAAATTTGGCTGGGCTTGATGTCTTGGATATCTTTTGTGGGTCCTCTGAAATAGTTCATAGTGGTGGTGCCCTTTGCCCTGGCTGTGCCGGAGACTTGCAAGATAGTAGCAGGTTTGCCGGCCTCTGACACACCTACATACGTCTTGAACTATCTGAACCTATAAGTTACATTAAGTTACATAGCATTACATAGAGCATCTGCTTTGGGAAGGCCACATCCTACAGTGTCCTACAGCCTTTTTGAGGGAGTCCCATTTCGTGTGTCTTTTAGAAATTTCCGGGGGGAATCCCCCCATTTGTTTCCGCACCTTCTCAGCATACAAAGTCCACCCTGCGGGGAAGTCCAGCTCTGGGGAATCTGTGTCGTCGCAGTACTTACAGGACAAGTCCTTCATCTCCAATCGTGTATCAAATATTATCAAATCTAGAAATATGACCAAACATGATCAAATATGATTAAATACAGTAGGGCTTAGAACATTACTGAATCATGGAAATATAATGTCCATGTAATCATGTAACTGTACCAAATTTTACAATATCAGAGACTGCAATATGGGAATTCCATGTGACAAAAACCGCATCTCCTGGGCACCTGGGCAGTGAGATGTCAGCAAAGGCAAACGACCTCACGCGACGCTGCAACGCGAGGCCACGGTGGCACAAATTTCTAGGGCAAAATGACCGCGGACCCACCAAATTCATCCAAATTCTGTAGTTTGGGGTTCTCAGCTTTAATATTTGTATAATTGCGAACAATCCGTGTTTAGATATTTTAAGGGTGCTGCTGCGTAGACAATCATACCTACCAACAATCTGCAAAAGCAGAATCATATACAGTACAACTAAGAGCAATCAGCAACAACTGTATAACAAGGTTTCAACGTCTGTAAGGGGCCGTGCCGGTGACGACATCAGACAATGACATGATGATGGTTGAAGTGACCGAAACTGTAGTAATTTGCACATGTTGATTTTTATTCAATGAATTTGTGGTTCAGATTCCATGGACGGGTCGCCCCAAAAGTGGAAAATCTAGTGCTTCACCACAGCGAAATTACAATTCTGTATGCGGAGAGCTCCGTGGAAAAGTTCGTTTTTTTATTCAAGCGCTAAGCTGTCCGAGTTTGTTGAGGACATTTGCTGTCGCGCTTGTGCGCCATACTGCACCACACAAGTACTTCCAAAACTTCATGAAGTCTTGTCTGCAGTCTTTGCGTGTATGTAACTGCCTCGGAATCGAATTGCAACCAATCTAGCATTGCAACCAATCTAGCAGCGCAGCATGACGTATGTGTGGAAGTGCAAGAGAAAGTCCAGCAGCGTCGCATGACGTATGTGTGGGAGTGCAAGAGAAGGTCCAGCAGCGTAGCATCACGTATGTGTGGAAGTGCAAGAGAACGTCCAGCAGCGTAGCATGACGTATGTGTGGAAGTGCAAGAGAATGTACTATGTAGTTGAAGTCGAAGTGAACGTTATTATCCCACCCCAACGCCTCCACCCCCAAAATATCAACACGCGACTGGCGTTGACACCTATAACAGTAGGAGTCTATCATAGAATCAGATAAACTCCAGTTGTATGAAGGGGAAATGGATATGGTAAATGCAAATTCGGATATGGTTGATGAAATGGCAAGGACCGCTGCACCTTTGCTGCTGCTGCTGCTGCCTCCTGAGGCCTGCAGCAGGGAAACTAGAGCCGTCAATTGGCAAAATCCACAGATCATCGCAGGTCGGAGATCGACGGAAATCCACACTTTTTCTGCTGGGCAAAGCAATGAAGTTTCGGATTCGTAATCCGAGCGCAGCCTTGCCTTACGAGTCTGGAATCCAAAATACACCAGCTCCACCTGTAATTCGAAGTTAGATTCAAACTCGTATCCAGGCGCTCGCTATCAAATGAGCTCACACCGTTCTTAAACATTTAGATGTTCCCCCTGCTGAGAAGTGGCTGTACAAGGCAGTTCAGCGCATACCGCGGAACCGTTGCCAAAAAATTCTCAAAGATTTCAAACATTCATGCAACTGAGCCGTGGCCAAAACCTCTAGGGAACTCAATTGCCCTATGAAACGGAAGTACATGGTATGACTCGTGTGACCTCCAATAGAAGATCCTGGGGGTTTTGGCCACTTTAATTAATGATGGGTGCGTTTTGCTGCTTTAGCCACAGCAAGCCGGAGCTCAAATTCTTGCTGTTTCAAATAGTTTGTGGCATCTCGAAAGAGGTTGCGCGCAACAGACGCTTCATGCCACTGCACACAGCTCGATTCCAAGAAACCCCTGCATTACAGGAGAACTGAGAAATGAGACCGGCAACAAGTAGTTACCACGGCGCGGATGTTCTGATAAGAACCGCCAGGATGTGCCTACCAGCAGAACTTTTAGGTCATAGAAAGGAATAGAGAGTATACAGTACACATTAATTCTACACTTGGAAATGGTCACTGCTGACCCCATGCAGATTCCCTCTAGCTGATGAGTCTCTGTGTCACTCGGCACTTGGGTTCTGGGCATCCAACCTCAGATGAGGATTTGATTAGCAACTTCACCAGGTGGCTTCATCCATCAGTGGAGTTGATCAAGAAATAAAAGATATTCCACCGGAAATTAATTTAGAACTCCCACTTTCTGGAGAGTCACTGTTCAGAGTCCCTGTGGAACACCCTCCTTTTCTGGAGGGTTTCCAACACTTCTTAAGTGTTGTGAGCCTCGCTTCCAGTCTCAATCACTGTCATCCTGAGTGAAAACCGGACTGTCTTGACGTTGGTCATCCTCCGAGTCGTCTTTGGCCATCAATTCACGGCACGTTTGACCAAAGGCTTCCTCCCACTCATCGGCATCGTACGCGAACACCTGAAAATCAACATGGATCGACTGCCAATCGACAGTCGAAGAATTTTGCGCATCCATTTGAGCTGATGATTTTTTGAAAGTTTATGGAAGTCCTGCAAGGTGGTGCAACTGCTGTGGCGAAACAGCAAACCAAACCATTCACATTCAGTCACGTTGAACTCTCTCGGGATGACTGCAAAGCTGGCTGAACCGAGATACCCGTTGCGATTGCAGCCGGTGATCTGCTTTCGCTACAGCTGGGATGAGACAACCTGAAGCGGCTGATGCGAAGGTGAATGGAGGAGTTGTTCGAAGAGCTAAGGAGCCTCAGAGTAATTGGGGCCCACAAGAACTACAGTAGGATGGTCACCATTCTTCAAATACCAGTAGTACCGCACAAGGCGGTGGCAGAAGTTTCAAAAATGGTCAGTTGGTGTGACGCAAAAATGGCAGAGCGAACCCACTGATGGGTTGAAAGGTGGTTGAGTGTTTCTCCCTTTCTGTCTCTCTTTCTCTCTTTCTCTCTGTGTCTCTCTTTCGCCATCTATCTACAGAGCTACCTTTCTAGCCATCTACCTATCTACCTGTCTATTCATGTATCTATCGATCGATTTGTCTATTCACCTATCTATTAAACTGTCTATCTTTCTGTCTATCCAGCCATTCATCCATCCACTTACTTCTCTCTGTTAGTTTTTTTTCCGTCCATCTCTTCATCGATCCATGTCCACAGCTATCCATCACCATGTTCTTCGTTCTGTTTCTCTATCGATTCATCCATGCATCTGTCAGTCTACCTCTTCTTCCAGCTATCCATCCATCTATCTAGCTACCCATGTGTTTATCTGGTCATCGACGCTTCTAGCGATCTTTCGATCTAGCGATCTATGTGTCCATCTGTCGATCCATCTACCTGTCTATTGATCGATCTGTCTCTCTATCTAGCCACCCATCTTTCGATTTATCTCTCGATGTATTTATGGATCTTGCGATGCATCGATCTGTCTATCTATCTATCTATTTACCCGTCTATCTGTCTAACATCTCTGCTGAAGATGCCTCTTGTACTGCGCCTGCCACTAAAAATGCATCTGTGCAGATCCTCTTCAAATCTCCCACGCCTGCCATCGTTTTTGAAAATGCTACAAAACCCTGACGTTTTAGTCACTTTTCAGTGGATGCACAATCCACTCCACCTGCCACGCAAAATGACGTCTGAACGTCCAAAATGTCTCCGAGACCCTCAGTTTTTAACACTTTTTACTTCCAAATGTGCTTCGCGCCACAACGCCGTCCACTTTTTCGACATCTCAACTTCAAAAACTGCTCCGAACCCCCTCAGTTTTTAACACTTTTTACTTCGAAATGTGCTTCGCGCCACAACGCCGTGCACTTTTTCGACATCTCAACTTCCAAAAGTGCTCCGAGACCGCCAGTTTTTAACCCTTTTTACTTCCAAATGTGCTTCGCGCCACAACGCCGTGCACTTTTTCGTCATCTCAACTTCCAAAACTGCTCCGAACCCCTCAGTTTTTAACACATTTTACTTCGAAATGTGCTTCGCGCCACAACGCCGTGCACTTTTTCGACATCTCAACTTCCAAAAGTGCTCCGAGACCGCCAGTTTTTAACCCTTTTTACTTCCAAATGTCCTTCGCGCCACAACGCCGTGCACTTTTTCGTCATCTCAACTTCCAAAACTGCTCCGAACCCCTCAGCTTTTAACACATTTTACTTCCAAATGTGCTTCGCGCCACAACGCCGTGCACTTTTTCAACATCTCAACTTCCAAAGTGGTCCGAACCCGTCAGTTTTTAACACATTTTACTTCCAAATGTGCTTCGCGCCACAACGCCGTGCACTTTTTCAACATCTCAACTTCCAAAAGTGGTCCGAGGCTGAGGTGTTTTGTACCTTTTCACTTCGAAATCGGCTTCGCGCCACAACGGCGTGCAACTTTTCATCTCTCATCTCCCCAGATGTCTCCGCACCCGCCGCTTTAGCGAGCCTACTTTTCAACACAGTGTTTCGCGACTTTCCTACCTTTTTTCGCGCACCTGCATCTTCTTTCTTCTGATCTTTTCTCTTCTGACTCTTCTCCCTGCTGACTGCTTTTTCATCTCTCCATATTGTCGGAAGTTTGACTTCTAAACTTCCTTCGATGACTTAAACGTGCATTCTGCCCCTTTGCATAGCTTCGATCTGTCGGGCAAAAATTGGACCAGCATATTAACCAACAACAAGGGATACAAGGCGGTAGAAACCAACAACAATAGGGATAATAATGGTTTGAAAAAGTGTGTGCATTATTCAGTTCAATCCTATTCCTTGCTATACTATACTATAATGGGTGTAGAATAGTTTTTGGAATTTTGTTTGCCTCAGGTGTTGAATTGTTTTTTGCTTTCTTTCCTGGTACCATTTGCCTTGACAGTTTGGAACTAGAACGTGTGATTTTGCATGGTATTTGCCACGTTTCGGCACTTCAACCTCTCATTTGCATGGTATTTGCTACATTTTGGTACTTCAAACGTTCATGTGGGTTTCTTGAGGGTTCTTTAGGCTCTCGTTTAGGGTTTCATTTAGGGTTGGTCTCACCCAGGGTTTCTTTAGGGCTTCATTTACGGTTTCATTAGGTTTAGGGCTTCTTTAAAGTTTCATTCAGGCTTTTTTCACGCTATATTATATCATCATATATCATCCATATCCTTCATTTAAGCGAAATTTGATGGGTGCTTTGAATAATCACTCTCGCTGGTCACCGAGGAACGCTCCACGGTGTCACGAACATCCTCCATGCTGTAGCGTTCGGCGGCGCGTGGTCTTGCAGCACTTGCAGCACTGCCCATGATGCAGCACCGTGGGACCGGGGCGAGGCACGATCCAGTTCTGAGCCGACCCCAAGGCGGGAGAAAGTCTGACATTGACAAGTGATGACAAGTGATGACAAGTGATGACAAGTGATGACAAGTGCAAAAAAGAAAACACAAGAGCCCTAGATCTGGATATCCAAAGCATTTCAAACCAAATGCTCCATGTCATTTCAGCCCCGCTCCACCTTGAAGCGCTCAACAAACTCTGCCTTCCCTGTGGCCATGGGGCACATTGAAGAGGTTTTCGTCATGGAAATCCAGGTGGAAGGCAGTGCGTGAATTCACTGGTCCTTTCCAGTAACAAACCCGAAAAGAGGGTTTCGAACAATTAGGTCATGGTTCAAGATACCAACATATGCCCCTCATGTCTGTTGAAAATGATCCCAAAAAACGCACAAAAAATATTTGGGGAAGTTAAAACAAAATATGCACATGTTCCACTTGGTTTTCGATTTGATAAATCACCAACAACTCCCATAGTAACCAGTGGTTCTGACATCAAACCCATAATTCCCATTGATAAAGACCAATATATAACTCCCACTGATAGTCAATAACCATTTCATAACCACCAATAACTTGAAACAAACCAATGATATCCCATGATCAGCTCATGGAAAATCCAATCGTCTCAATCTATAAATGGATGATTTTGAGGTCCACCAGGGACAACTCCCATGGTGCCTTCCAGGAGGGCCACCGCCTCTGCAGCGCTGGAGTCCAAGACATAGTTGGCGCCCAGGCGTCGCAGGCCCTGTGGCTAACAGTGGATGAAACATCAAATGTACATATTATATGGCAGTGTGTCAAAACCTTGTACCCCTGGTGAACATCAAAATAGCTGGTAAATGGATGTTCATCCCACTAAAAATGGTATTAATAGGTATTGATCCATAGCCATATGGATATATGGTCCAGCGTTCCAACCTCCCCAGGGGCCATGGTCATGGGTCAGCCATAGTACTGTCCCCCTCCCCCCCTGTGGTGTGGTGGGGGTGTGGTACTGTCCCCTCCCCCCTGTGGTGTGGTGGGGGGTGTGTGGTGCGGGGGGGGGTGGTGTATGAATGACAAAAAATGGCATGGTGGGTATGGTGATTATGGTATGTAACTATCTCATGTACGGTATGTTTGGTATGTGTGGTATGTTTGATATTATGGCATGTATGCTTGGTATTGTATGTATGGTAGGTGCGGTAATTATGTTTCATATGTATGGTCCGAGTGGTATGTATCATAGGTATGATAGGTATGGTATGTATGGTCAAGTTGGTATGGTATGTGTGGTATGTATACCAGAGTAAGGCATGTATGGTTTGTATGGTATGCATGGTGGGGTTGGTAGGTTTTGGTATGTATGGCGCAGTAATTATGGTAGTGAGGACTAGGGGGGTCGGGGGGGTGATGGTACAGACCGTCGTTAGATCGTATACGGGTAGTTCACAAGTACGATATAGAAGCATGTGCGTAGTAAATCCCTGGTATGCAGGAAAGATATGTTAAACACATGTAGTGTTGTGAGAGCACACAGGCAGGTAGCACGTGGGTACTTTGAGGGAGTATTTGTGCTACGTAGATCGTCTAAAAGGTAGCGTGTACCCAGTAAATGCGATGCTGGTAGTCAGAAATGCCGCAAAAACCTAGCAAATATGAGGCTGGACCTCAGAAATGCTGCCAATAGCTTGCAAATAGAAGGGAAGGGGGTGCTACCTGGGGACCCATACATTTGGGGGGTAGGAACACGGAACACGAGACCATATATATAATTACATATCTATATATATATATATATAAATATACATATGTTATCTCATCCCTGTTGATACTGATATTGAATAATTTGTTGAATCTAAGAATGCATGGCCAACTCCAAGAAGTTCTGCATCTCACCATGCCTCCGCTGCTTTGCGCATCGTCAGGGAAGGATCTTCCTATGGCAGCTAATAATTGTAGACCGTTCTGCAGTGATCCCGACCCCATAACCCCCGACGCCGGCCGTTGCATGAAAACTTTAAAACTTCTGCCTTGAGCGGCATCTTGTCACTCTCAATGTGATACATGTTGCTATGCGAGACCTGCAAGGGTGTGGTGTGTCCTGGTCTTTGGATGACACTTGCGTCCTCTGCCCTCTCTTACCAACACCCAAGTCTCAGCAAAAGTGGTCCTGGGTGTAGGCAGCCAAGCTCGTGCGTGCCTTTTGTTCAGCAAAAGACAGCGGTATTTCGGGAGTCAACTTAGTCTAATTATACCTCACTGCCAAATTGTGGTTTCAAATCTAAAAAGATTGCAGGATACCGATACAACATGATACAACCCAAAAAAAACAACAGGATAACAACCATAACAACCATAGTTGGTAACATGGACATCTCGTTGCAAGGCACCAGCGGTCACCAACAAGCACAGAATGTCGCCTCTGGTGAGATGGACACCACAGTCAATCGAGCGGCCTCGCCGCTTTGGGATTGGCACCAAGGAAGATATTTTGTTTAAGAAAACAGAAAATCACCACAACATACACTGACATACACTAAAACGCACTGCTTAAAAAACGCAACAATAAGATACAATGACAACGATCATAACAACTTTGATGGCTCTCAAGCTCTCAGTCCTCTTGATGTCTTCAAACTAGCAACCCTGGGCACCTCTGTTCGCTTCATAAATTCTTCAATGCTTTGCTCTTGCCTTGCGCTCAAATTTGGCTCGATATCAAGCAGTCTGAACCCCTCTGGAACATATCACTCGTCAGGGATCATCATCCCAATTTGGAGGGAAAAACAAATGAATACATATGTTTGTACACATACATATCCCTCCGGGCCGGACATTCGCTCAAAGTTAAGGTTTGTTTAGGGTTTGTTGAGTTAATTTTCGTGTTATTTAGGGTTGTTTTAGGGTTTGTTCACGTTTGTTTTAGAGTCTATTTAGGGTTATTTATGGTTAATTTAGGGTTGGTTTAGGGTTTGTTTAGAGTTTATTAGGAATTATTTAAGGTTGGTTATTTTTGTGTTCTTTAAAAGTCTTGCGGTTTGTTGAGGTCTCAGTTAGCGGCTCGGAACACTGCAAATTATGGAGGATATCTTTAAGATAGGTGAATTTGGCACCGTCTTGGGCAAGCGCAAAAATGCCATGAGACACAGGACATATCAATATTTTGCATGCTCGCAATGTGCGAAAAACACGCAGGGAAACAACACAGCAGATAGGTCCCGCATGGAATTCCGCGGATTTCGGGCAAACGTCAGCCCCGTAGCGATACATGTATATATATATATATTTATTTATATGTGTGTGTGTTATATGTATGATACATAAATATATATATATAATATCTATGTATATAAATATATATATATAGCATGTCTCTCTACCATGTTTTTGGGCTATCTCTTTAGGCACTGTTTTGCCATGTTTGTCCCTCTTTTTTGGGTTTTTTTGTCCCTAACTTTTGGGAATGTTTGTCCCTCTTTGGTGAATTTTTGTCCCTATCTTTTGGGAATGTTTGTCCCTAACTTTTGAGAATTTTTGTCCCTAACTTTTGGGAATTTTTGGCCCTAACTTTTGGGAATTTTTGTCCCTAATTTTTGGAAATGTGTGTCCCTCTTCTTTGGGGAATTTTTGTCCTTAACTTTTGGGATTTTGTCCCTCTTTGTATGGCGCTCAACCACGTTTTCTTGACCCCTTATATTGCGAATATTTGACCCCAAATTTGGGAAATTTAAAAGGACAATAATTACCCAAACTTAGGGACAATAATTACCAAACTTAGGGTCAATAATTACCCAAACTTGGACAAAATACCTCTAAAGAAAACGTGGTAGAGCGCCATGTTAATATATATTACGCACATATAACACTATATATATTATATATATATAAACATACTGAAACATTTTGAAACCACCAACCACCTTGATATGCAGGTATAGTTCAGGTATGGTAAAGCACCGGCACCACTCAGCTGGGATCCCGCACAACAAAACCGTCTCAGCAGAGGTAACGCAGCCGGAACAGGCAAGGCAATCAGAGAGGGTCACTTGACCAATCTGCGCCTGAGCCACAGGCAGCTATAGTCAAGGAGGACAAGGAGGAAAAGGCGGAATATGAACTGAATTTTTGACTGATTTATTCATGACATTTCATAACATTTCATGACATTTTCTCTGATATTTTCTGACATTCTATGACGCAAGATTCTTGATTCTTGATCCTGTGTTTTTTCCGTTGCGGCTTCAACCCTGGGTCAATGGCACCCAGGTGCCGCACCTTTGGATCGTTACTGCTCTGCTTTGACCTTCAACGGTCCAAGGAGGCCCACGGATGTCCACGGAGGTCCACGGAGAATAAACCACGGAGAATTGGTCCTGCTTCTTTGCAATGGCAAAAAAAATCAAATCCGCCGACCCCAGCAATGAGCAGGGGAAGCGCATCAAAGGAAAAGTGTCGTTCTTGGCGCTGGCACCTGGCTGCTCCATGGAATTTTGCTGTGGCCCGCGAAACCTTCCGTCACTGGCCTGCTGGTGCCAGTTCCTTTGGTTAAGGTGACATTGAACCTCTTCGGCATGTTGGTGCCACTTCCTTTGCCGGTTCAGAAAGTGACGTTAGAGACTGCGGTCTGTGGCCTGCTAGGACCCGTGAAACCTTCAGCTGGGTGTTGTTTCCCCGTTTCGGAGCATTTCCGAAGGTCCACAACAAGACTTCGCAAGACCTTCACTGACCTGCCGGTGCCAATTCCTTTGGCGCTCTTTGGTGTGTTGGTGCCACTTCCTTTGCCTTTCTAGGACATGCTTGCTGGGCTTGAAACTTTCATCCAAAAAAACATTGTAAATACCGCCATTTTTGCTACCGAAGCAAAAACATCGTAAATCATTACCGTGGTTTTGGGCTTCCGAGGCGCAAAAACCATCGCTATTTATTGTGTTTTTTTCTCCGAGGGTCTCAAAAATCTACGAAAACACCACCTATTTGACGATTGTTAGGGGTCCACAAAAATACAACAATCAGCTCTGTTGCAACAACAACAACAACAACAAGAAGAAGAAGAAGAAGAACAAGAACAAGAAACACAAGAAGAAGAACAAGCACAAAAATGTGACAAAAAAGATGTGTGGTAATGGTTACAAGCTGCGGTATGACAAGAACATCACACTGTGCTCTGTACCTGCGCGCACGCGCAGGGCACATGAACAACACCAACGCTCACACTTCTATACATAACCCTTGTGGCATCGCCGGTGTGCGAAGCTCTACAATAACCATCCAATTGTTTCATGAACAGTTTTCTGCCAAAACTACAGTACAGACAAACACCTGAATGAATCATGACTGTAGCAAGATACCAATCAGGTAAACAACAGAGCCTTTTCTTTGTGTCGTACACGGTACCTAATTAGGTATCTATTCAATCTTGGAGTCTTCAAGGCTTCAGATTGCCATCATCATCCCGAAGTTGTGTCTGAGTGGGAAAGAGAGCAAGTTGTTTGGATCCAAAAATCCTGACTCGAACGGGGTCTTTGTCATGTGCCTTCATTGGGAAGTGGTTGTCCGTGGCTTCCCTGTAAGCCAAAAACATCCAAAAAAAACCAGAAGCTGAGCTTGCGAACTTGATGAGGTTGGGCTTTTGCACCTGTGGCACCTGTGGAGAGATGGATGCTTTTTGCACATGTGTCGAATGAAGGGAACTAATGGTTTTGCACATGAATTTCTGGTTTTGCACACAGACGATCCATGAAAATCCAGCACTAGCAACCAATGCAACCAATGCAACCAATGCAAGTATACAACAAGCAAGGCATACACAGCATGGGACATTTCGGAAGCTCTCAAAAAAGTCACCACTGGATTTCTGAATAAAAATGGTGGTGACATGGCCCTGTTTTGCGGAGTCAGGATCATTCAGGATTCCTTTCTGCTCTCAAAAAAGTCACCACTGGATTTCTGAATAAAAATGGTGGTGACATGGCCCTGTTTTGCGGAGTCAGGATCATTCAGGATTCCTTTCTGACCCAAACTTTCACCTAAGGTCATCCATGAAACACGTGAAGTGTAAAAAAAAAGCGGTGAAATGCACTGAACTCCACCTCGGCCACAGGCAGAGCCTTTGCTTCACTGACACTCTGCAGCTGTGTCTGACACCGGAAAGCACATCAGATGGCAAACGCCCAACAGAACAACTGCGAATTGCTGAACATGACCCAAATTGTAGAGTACTTTGCAATACTATCTACTCGGGATGATTTTCAAAGATATTTTTTGACGTCATGCGAGACACGATTCTGCCCTGCGAGGCGTGACACTGTGACACGCTGTTGACCTTTGCACGGTTGTGACCCTTCATCGCAGCTTGTATCCCCCACCTTGCTTCCATCTGCTGCCTCAGAGACTTTTCAGCGCTGCAACAGTGCAACCATCAGCATTTTCTGTGCAAAAGACGGCGCTTGCTTAGGGAGCAGCATCAATCGGCTGGTCAAGAAGTGCGCAGGTCAACAGAAGAATGACAATATCAATACTGTCAATACAGCATTGGGTTCCCTAATTACAAGATCAAAAACCAAGTCGTGAGGGCCTTATGGGCCATTCAAACGGAAGGCCGCCCACCTGGATGAGTGGCTTCACACATTCCTGGCAGCATCTTGGAAGGCGGAAACAGGGACTAGGACCGGCAAAATCTGGCTGGAGAGGTTTGTTTTGCAAGAAATTGCTAACATGAGACTAACATGATTTTACTTGACCTCTCCAAAATTTCACGCGAATTCAATGTTCACATCCGCTTCAAAATCTTCAAAGAACAAGTCGTCCTGCGACAAGGAGATGAAGTCGTCTAGGTCGCCAAGTTTTACCCCACCGCTGAAGGCCATGGCAATCGCTCCTCAAGGCTGAGCAAAAATGGCGACGGATCGGATACGGATCGGTTTGCCATATCGGCCAAGGTCTAAACTTTGGCTCTTGGGACTTGGGATTTAGCAATTTCGGCCAACGTCCCTGCAATCCCAAGATAGGGATGAGTATGGGATTGGAAGCGACTTACCAATGTTAAAACCTTCAAATAGGAATCTGGGATGAGTTGTATTGAGTTGTGCTAAGTCCACAAAAGCATGTTTTGAAATGAGTTGGGTCTTCAAGACTCAGCTTGGACTCCAAGATTTACAAATCTGTGCGACTGTGCGATTCAATCAATCCCAAGTGTGGGACAACCAGTTGAGTAAACCAAGTCTCAACCGTTTCCGGTCTCTTTCTGATTGCGAGTCCACTCAGTCCAAGTTCTGCGAAAATGCAGATCCAGAGCCGGAACTCAGGATGACGGATGACACTCAAAAGTTTCCTTCTTGGATTATGTGGGGTCTAATAAATCAAATGCACATGCAAAGCATTGCAAAGCCATGGATCTGTCTGGCTACCCCATGCGCCAATAGAAGAGGAATGAACAAAAAACGATATTGAGCACTGGTGCCCCATCACTACAGTTTCATGAGAATGAGATGTTTTGCCTGGCACATCTCTTGTTTGCATGACATACCCGCGCTTCTTTTACATGAGTTTCTCTGGTGCCTTTTTTTTTGGTACCCCAAAGTTGGCTCCTGACATTTGACTTTAAATCGCCAGCAAATAGTGAAATATTATATGATATTATCATATATAAATTGTTCGGCAGCAGAAATCGCATGAAAATGCATGAATCATGTGATCTTCCGAATTGGCATCTGGACCTGTACTTTGCCGCCGTCAGGATGGATCATTTGGCAAAACGGGTGGAGAATGTGTGCCCTTTGCCTTGCTCCGCAGGGAGACGGCCAATGTCTTCCCAACAAGCCAGGGGCACCACCACCATATGGTATATTCGGCTTTTTGGGAGTCCGCTTGCAACACAAAACACATCAAAAATCATCAAAACATCGCACTGAACTCGCTACAAATCGGTGAATTCCGCACTGAACGGGCTACAAAGAGCGTCCCTTTTAGCCACGGCAAAAAGCATCGCCTTTCAGGCTCAGCAGCAGCTGGACTTCTTGCTCTTCTTGCTCTTCTTAGCCTGGCGATCAGAACAAGCGTCACAAGCGTCACAAGCGTCACAAGCGTCACAAGCGTCACAAGCGTCACAAGCGTCACAAGCGTCACAAGCGTCACAAGCGTCCATCAACCCAAATGCGAACCGTTCATATTGCGTAGAAATCATGGAAATCTGAGAAAAAGTATGTAATTTGAAGCTCTGGAAGCAGGTGCCTCACTGACTTTTGAGAATGTGTTTGACGCTTGACAATTCCATCATCAAGTGTACCATGGTCACCCGAAAACTGAAGGACCCCATAAACCCTCGTTTTAAGCACTTTTGAAGTCTTTGGTGGAGAAAGAAAAAGGATTGAGTTTGGTGGAGGTAAGCTTGGTAGAGATAAGTAGAGATAGAGACAAGGTTGGCAGGATGGAGACATCAGAGTAGAGGAAAAGAGAGAGGGATGGGATAAGTTGGGACCGACATAAATTGCAGAATGATGGAGATAGTTCGATAGAAGTTCGATAGAAGTTCGATACGGACTTGAGATGACTTGAGCCCTTGCTGAAAACTTCTGAAAACCCTTGAGCCCTTCCTGATAGCAGAGGTCGTCTTTTTTGCATCGTAAGGATGTGCCACGCAGCACGCAGCACGTTGCTTACACGTTGCATCTCGTTGCATCAGCCTGAGGATTTTCCGTACGGGAGGTTTATGCGACGATTTACGCGGCGGATCCTCACCGCCTTCCTTACAGGGTTTTTTTCAGAGCAAGGCTCAATTGGAAGAGGTTTATGTAGACAAGATGAGTTTGGTTGAGACAAGCGAGATAAGTCATGATAGAAATAAGTCGCAATAGAGACAAAATTGGGATGTAGATTGCTTTAGATGGAAATAGGTTTGGTAGAGGTGAGCTATGATAGAGACATGTTGAGTTGTGGTGGCATTAGTTTCGTAAAGATGCATTTCATTTGATAGAGATAAGTTTTGTATAAGTTTGTTAGAGTCACGGTAGAGTTGTATAAGTTTGGTATTAGGGATGGGTTCTGATAAAGATAAACTGTACTAGAGACAAATTTGGTACAGTCCGCTATGATAGACATTTGTTGAGGCAGAAATAGTTTTGGTAAAGATGAGCTATGATAAAGACCTGCTGTGGTAGAAAGAAGTTTCATAGACAGATAAACGGTTGAGATTGAGATATAGTCGGGTAGACGAGAACTAAATTGCGAAGCATGGCATCTGTACAAATCGAGGAGGTAAACATCTATAAATTTGTTACAAATATCCCTTAAAATAGCCTTTGAAAATCTGCAGTCCATATTTTCCGGCTCAAAACGGCAAACACCCACCTTGGGAGCAGATGCAAGCTTGGTGCCAGTGGTGATCACAAAGCTCTCACGTGCCTGGCGGCTGACAAACTCCTTGGCATAGCAATACTAAATTCAATTGTTTTTTTGGACAAAAAAACGCCATACATTTTCCTCCACGATGGGAATACCCATTTACCAACAATCATACGGGATTTTCCAATAGATTTTGACACTCCTAAACATGTCCAAACCACTTTTTTCAACGCCTGGCCTTGTCGGACATCGAGTGGCCTTCCTGCGGCGCGGTGTGACCCTCAGGGTGCGCTGTGACGATGTAGCCGGCAGGCAACATCTCGCCGGGGGCGAACCACTTGCCCTGGGAATGGTCCAAATTGCCTGGCCGTTTCACGGGGAAACTGCAGAAAGCTTCACAAGCCGAAGCGATATGAAATGATTCCATTGGCTTAGCATTGGCTTCTTCCCATCCATGATTTTTCCTGATTTCAAAAGTGTTCAAGCTGTATCTTTTGTACCGTATTCAGAACGCTTCAAAATCGCACGCAACAAATTGAATGGCAACAAAATCAAGGCCAAAACCAACTGGTCTGTCTTCAATGGTGTTGCAGATTCGTTGTGCCTCCTAATTTCCCCCCAACTTGCTACCAGGTGCTGTAGGCCGGGTATGGCATCTCCGTGGTGTACGCCATCATGGGCATGGCACCAATCGACTCGGCTCCGGGCATGTAGGGCGAGGAGTAGACCACTGGGGCGCCTGTCAACGTCGTCACTGCGTCACTGTCGTCTCTGTCATCTCGCAAGGTCTACAGGGTTTGACATATGACGGGAAGTGGGAAGTTTCCGTGAAATGGCTCAAAATGTGATGTTTCAACAACAGCGCCAAATTTTTCAAGTCGCAGGGGAAGACCAAGTCTCACATTGCAATTGACAAATCCACTTCAATAAATGCGCACCTGCCATGCCGTACCCGGCATCAGTATAGGCCACTGCACCCATAGGCTCCATAGGATAGGTTGTGCTGATCGGCATTCCAGTGCCCATCTGAACCTCAACTGCTTTCAAGATCGGTGCATCCCTTTGTCATCTTATCATCTGATTCTGTCCTGAAAATGATCTTCGTAAAGTTTTTGCGGAGCGTAAACTTACGAAGAACATCAGGGCAGGAAAGGAGTGGCAAATGATCTGGCACTCCTGACAATCTCACGGACGGTTTGACGGCCTTTATTTCACCACTCTTTGTCAAGGTTTGGAGGTTCAAAACAGGCAAGGTGAAACGGTGAAATTCCAATGGAACTTGGTGTGCCAGAAACAGTGCAGATTTATTGATACAACCTTCCATACAACCATCCTCCAACCTCCACCATCAACCAAGGCGCTGCACTGGTCACAGGGGCAGCATCGGTGATTGGCACAGGCTCAGTGGTAACACCTGCCAAAGAATTCCGCAGCTCTCAATTCTCTCAATGCTTTCAGCATCTTTCATCATCTTTCAGCATAGGCAACACATTTTGTACGTCATGGAACACATCTGGAACACATCTGTGCTGTGCTCCCACAGAGTCCACCTGCCATTGGAAAATATTGGTTGCTGCACAAGACCTGAAGATTGCTGAAGATCCTGAAGCTCTTGAGCCACAGATAGCCACAGATAGCCACAATCATCACAATCTATGCCAGCTATGCTGGCTATATGCTGGCTATCACGACCCAATATTTTTCAACAGATCCCAACAGCACACGATCCAAAACTTTGAAAGGAAAGGGACTTGAACCTTCTTCACACGACATGCTGTGAGACGGTTCTCTGAAGATCTTTTTCCCTCCGAGCAAACTCGGCAGATGGCCCCTGGATCCATGATCTATCATGATCTGGGAGGCTGCAAGAAGAATCAAGAAGATCCACAATTTCACAACATGGCAACAACTTCAGCACGTGAACTCCATCATATTCCATCACCATGACTTCTTAAGCGCTCGAAGGTTTTTCCAATGACTCTTCTCTGCGACAACGGACTGGGGATGAACCTCAGAAAGTGTCGCCTATGCACCAAAAAAGACTTGGCCACCTTTGAGTTGGTCTTGTTTGGCCGTCAAAGATGTATAAAGATTTTGTATTTCCACCATCAGCTTTGCTGAGATAGCTGCACCGCTACTGACCTTCTCTCGTAATTTTATGTTGCGCTATCTTAAGAACCATCCAAAGTATCCAGCGACACGTGTTGTCAACATGTTCTGAAATGTTGTTAACATGTCAGATACCTATCTCTGGTCAGTGTCACGGTGCTGACCTTCTGAGGCTGCTGAAGTAACTCTGTCAGTGAACCGCAATCGAGAATACTCGACGAGCTGAATGTGAGAAAACACCATCAAACTAGGAAGGATAGCAAGGACGGTGAGAATGACGATGAAACACTATGACATGTGTTTGTCCCAAAGTCGTCAAAAAAACACTATCGCAAAGAATCAACAGCACAGAACTTCCAGAACTTCCACTCTGTGGATAGCTTCCAAGGATAGCTCATCCGGAAGCGCCCGAAGCTACAGATGTGGCCCCTGCTCCAAGGCTTTCCTGTTCACTCAGTCATTCTGTCAACGCAGAAAGCGAAGCGACGCAGAAAAGCTGAGCAGGCAAGGGTACCACTGACTGAAGCCGGAAACATCAAAATATATCAGAATTGTTAAACATCAGGCATCAAACATCAAAAATCATCAAATTAAATTACTCAATTCCCAAGTTTTTAATTTAAATGCCATCACCAGTGCCATCATGGCCTGTACAAAACGTATCCGCATTTCGGTTCCGAGTTTCAGGATGTTTCAGGTCAAGTCTCCAGCTGAAAAGCACCACATCTGCTTAGTGTGGTGAAAGTACGCCACGCGTGCGCCACAAAAGCGCCATGCGTGCGCGTTGCGAGTAAGATGCATTTGATACAATTTCAACATGTTTCAACATGTTTCAGTTCGGACTGAAATCTGCTAGTTTCAACATGTTTCAACTGTTTCAACATGTTTTAACAATGAGCATTGCCAAATCAGTGTTTCCCCTTCACAAAGATCTGATTCGTAGGATCTGTCGACCATTTGGGTATGGCTCAGATAGCAATGGATCCACCAAATTCATCAGAATTCATCAGAATTCATCAGAATTCATCAGAATTCATGATGTCTGGTGTTTAATCAAGTCAGTTTCGCCCATGATTTTCAACTTGCCATAACCCAAGTGATCAAAATCTCGATCAAATCTCCGGCTCTTCCTGCGTCCACGGCGCCGAAACAGCAAGTCCTGGAGCGTTTCCGCCATGGTGCCATGATGGGATGGATGATATAGTTGTGAACCAATAAAACCAATCGGGAATCCGGAACATAATATGAAAATATATGAAATGTATTCAAAGGTATTTGTTTCATGTGTCTTATTCCGGCAACCTTCCAGTTTTAGGATGTTGTAGGTGTTATTTTGAACCATAGCCATCAGCCACGAACCACGTTTGAAAAAACATGGAGCTGCGCCATGAACATCGTCAAACATCCATGGTCCAATGGGTCCAATGGGTCCAATGGGTCCAATGGTACAGTTCATGAACTTTAAGATGTTTGAGTCATAGCCATAGCACATAGATGCACAGATGCACTCGGTTCATTCCACACACAGTTCCCATTTTTGGTCTTTCCCTGGATGGGTTTTATCCTTTGATTAAAACTGCGAAGCTGAACGGAAAACGCACAGCACTGTTTTGAGCCTCAGGGCCTGGATGATAGTGAAATGGTAAATGTGCTTTGACAAGCATGAAATGAGACATGAGTGCTACTCAAATTTCTTCGCACTCCTAAAATTGTAGAGCTTTAGCTCCAAATTTTCAACCAGCACCCAGCGTTTTCTCGCTGAGCACTCATCGAAACTCTTCGTCCTCAAATTCCAGCAATCACCATACAGTGAAAAATTGCTCCATGCAAGACTTTGGGTTCACCTGTGACTCAACTGCTCCATGAACTCACCAATGTAAATTTCATACACATCGGCCATTGTTGATTGGGAATGTCCCACAGCTCTCTGGTGCCTGCTCTGCAATTCTGTAATCACATTCTCCAGCAACTGATTGAATCTCTCTAATCCAATTGGTCTGCCTGGCTCCAAATCCAGAACCTGCATGATCAGCTGTTGGATCACAGCACCATCGCGGAATTCCTCTCTGGCCAATGCTTCATTGAGAAGCGCACGCAGTCGGTTCACCAGGTGTTCTCGGGTATTTACATCTCTGATCTCATTGTCCACCTCCATTGGAGTTTCTGATTCACCTCCTTCTTCATTTTCATCTGCATCTCTTCTGTCATCAGTGTTGTCTGTATGAGCATGGATTCCTGTAGTTTGTTGACAAGCAAGACGCAAATAGCGTTCTCCTCCCATGACATTGAAGGAAACCATGTTGCCACGTTCTCTCTGATACATGGCTCTGTTTTGATCTGGGGTTAACTCGCCAAACCGGCGAAAGCCACCCATCTCTACCAAGCCATAGTGAATGCTTGAAGAGTAGTCCTGCACAAAGTCAAGGTCACGTGCAGTTTCTCCCAAGCCATGTTCAAGACGCACAAGTCTCCTGTCATGGTCAGGCAACGTTCGACCAATGTCACCTTGAGAAGTTTGAATCTCACCAAAAGCTGTATCAAGCTCAGCCAGTTGTACTGACAAATGGTAATGTTCTCGCTCAATGGTTGTAGCGCTGTTGATAAACGGTTGTAGCGCTGTTGATAAACCATCTGTAAGCTTTCCATGCTGCAGCTGCAAAAATCACCCATGAAATCACCAGTAGAAAAATGCAGAAACAAAGCAACCATGGAAAATCTTTTGTAGTTTCACTCTCAGCGCATTGTGGCGACATTGATGCCACACTGCAAGTTCCAGTACTCTCCCCATCAGGAAAAATACCTTGTCCAGCCGCACCAGATGGCCCAAGGCCCATCTGAGAAAGGATACGTGTGAGATTCTTTGCCAGTTTCATCATTTGTCGCTTTGATCCATGCCGCTCAGACTGTTGGTCATGCTCCTCCTGTCCAATCACAGTTAAACCTGCATCATCACAAACATTCAACTCATGAAGAAGAAGTTTGACTCGTTGCTGAGTGAGGGCTTTCGTACACAAATCTGACACATTCCAAACTGTAGGCAACTGCTGCAACTGAACATCTCCAGAAAGCACATGTTGTTGAATCCAGAGTATCTTTCCATCTAAGTGCCGCACTTTGCCTACTCCCTGCTTTGCTGCAAGCTGACGTGCTGAAGAGGAATCAGTCAGTAAATGATGTGCCACTTCAGCTCTGGTCAAAAAGGAGAGGCAACGCTTGATGTATATGCCATCAGCTAAAGTGCTCACCATTGCATGTAACTCTGCTTCACAGCTTGAAAGACTGACTGTTCGCTGCGTTCTTGAAGAAGAACCAAAAGCATAGTTTCCATTGATCATGTGGATACCTGCAGAAGTGCTACGTCTGTGTTCCTTGTTCGAAGACCAGTCTGAATCACTGGAGCTCTCAAGGACATAAAATGCCTCTCCAGTGTTTACCCATTTCCCTTGGCCTCCCTCAGGTTCTTGAAGCACGACTGCATAGTCCGTTGTGCCTTTCACATATCCCATGACCTTTCGCAAACGATGCAAAGCAGTGATTGAAGGATTGCTCATTTTGGATGCTAGTTCTTTCACACAAAACAGCAAATCTGGCCGATCACGGGCCAGGTAGAGCAAACCTCCAACTGTGGACCTGTATGCAAAAGCATCCTGTGCACGCAAACTTGAGGAAACATCAGGAAGCTGAATTGAAGAATCACAAGCAACACGTTGAACACGAAGCGTTCCAAACTGCTTTTCAAAGTTCTCAACCAGCTTGGCTATGTTTGTACCTGGAACCAATGCAATGCCATCTTTCACACGTGTCAATTTGCGTTTCAGAAAAGACACTGAGTCACCTTCGTTCTCACCAAGCACTGCAGAGCTGACAGTAAACTTCTCACGAAGTTTGGGAAGAAAGTGGTTTTCCCAAAACTGTTTTGTTCCAGTAAACATCACATCATCCACATGAACCATGATAGCTGCTTGCTCACATCTTCCCATGCATGGCTGTTCATTGCACCACTCAAAACCAAACGTTTCAGTGAGAAAGGTTCGAAAGAACCAATACCAAGCTTTGGCTCCCAGTCTCTGCCCGGGTAAGTTCTTTGCTATTATGAACTTCCTTCCAGCCAACTGCACCGCAAATGGGCGCTCTTGAGGTACACAAAGAAAAGCATCCTTGATGTCCACAACACCCAAAACGTGTTCAGGGGATTGGTTTTCACATCCACGTCGCTGATTACACTTTTGAAGATAAACCAAAGGCAGCAAGTTGGTCACATGGCATGAGGTAGCTGGGCTGAAACAGTCATCCCGTCTCTCAAGGAATGCATATTCACGTGCCACTAAACGGCTACGTCTCAACCATCTCTTCACCGTTTCACCAGATGGTAAGGTGAAATCTTTGGCCCGCCAATCATGCACAAATTTTGTAGTAAGAGAATCTGTGACTTCTCGGCATAGAGCTCCTCCTTGATAAGAACTCCCATTGAAGTCAGCCTGGAGATTTCGAGCTCATTTGCA